GAACTCACTCACTCAACCCCTTATAGAACTCTCACTCACGCCCCCTCATAGAACTCACTCACTCACTCACTCACGCCCCTCATAGAACTCACTCACTCAACCCCTTATAGAACTCTCACTCACGCCCCCTCATAGAACTCACTCACTCACTCACTCACGCCCCTCATAGAACTCACTCACTCAATAGTTCTCGACCTCACCGTAGTTGCGGCGGCGCGGGCTGCGCGACTTTTACAATCCCGCCACGGTCGTCTTCCGGCGCCAGCCGTAACGTCGCCAAGTAATCTTATATTTTTGTTTGTTTCGCTTCGACTTCTTCCGAGCGTCGGCCGAGAGCTTGACGAAGGTGCGCTTTGTTATGATACAAGGGCGCATCATCGCGAGTCTCGCGAAGTAGTCTTTACTGTGTCCACCCTTCGTTTCAAGCATTCGCGACAACTTCTTGCAAGTATGGAGTGAGCGTCTGCATCGTTGTTTATTCAGGTGTGAATTATTATTATTCAAACATGTATACCACCATAGGTGTGTAATCTGTTTCCGCATAGATTATTGCAAACTTATCCTTAATGGTAAGACAGTTTGCTCGGTAACTCGATGTCTAGTAGAACTATTGCGGAACGGTCTGCCTTTATATTTATCGTAGGTCACACCATTCCCCCTAAAATAACTGCCTGTTGGATATTTTTTCGTGGGAGAATGAACGATTGAAGAACTATATGAATTAGTGATGCAAAACTATCGATAAATCGCCTATCGATAGTTTTGGAAAAACTATCGATAGTGTCGCAGAACTATCGATATCGATAGTTCTGCATCACTAATAGTCGACTATCGATAGTACTATCGATAGTTTTCCGATAGTAGGCCATCGATAGTACTATCCATAGTTTTCCGATAGTAGGCTATCGAGAGTACTATCGATAGTTTTTAGATAGTCGACTATCGATAGTTTTTTTACTACCGATAGTCAGATTTTTGGCGGCTATGGAGACTATCGATAGTACTATTGATAGTTTTGCACCACTACTAGAGCGAACACAGTTGCCACACCGCCACTCACCTGACCTTCCTCCTCTTTTCATCACCCAAACTCCCGTCTTCGTCATCACTGAAAGCTGAACCAAAGTCGGGATGGTAAGTTCTTGGGCTAGTTGGTGTTCGATTTGAAAAAATAAAGCAAGAAAAAGAAAAAAGGGAGCGACGCGAACTGCTAGTGTCGGAAAACTATCGATAGTAAACTGTCGACAGTACTATCGATAGGTTTACGATTGTCGACTATCAATAGTTTTCCGATAGTCGATTAACGATATTTTTCCGATAGTCGACTATCGATAGTACTATCGATAGTTTTTTTTTACTATCGATAGTCAGATTACTGACGACTATCGATACTATCGATAGTACTATCGATAGTTTTTTTTTACTATCGATAGTCAGATTACTGACGACTATCGATACTATCGATAGTACTATCGATACTATCGATAGTACTATCGATAGTTTTGCACCACTAATGTGAATGCCATATAATTGCATTTTTTAGCGTCTCTTATTTTTTGTTGCACCGAACATACCAATTAAGCGTGGAACATACGCTCTAATCAAATGCCATCGGGATTTTTGTTTCTATATCTGTGTGTGTTCAAGCTTGTCAACATGTTGAATACAAATATTTACAAAGTGCATGTATAATGTTGTTTTCTATTAAAATAATTCATTAATTTTTGATGGATGTTAATTATTAATTTGAGTTCCCGAATTTGTTTGAATAAACTACAACCTACTGGTGTAAGCGCAAGTTGCTTTGCCTACAATAATTAAATTACTTCTAACTACTGGTAGCCTAATTTGGATATCCACGCGATATTTAAGGGTCATGACCCTTAAATATTGCGTGGATATCCAAATTAGGAAGTCAATTCGATATAAATGGCGGTGATGGAACTCAATTCAATAGAAATGGTATAAAATTTTTCAATACTTGATTTGTTAGATACGAGATGTGGGCGCTTAGGTTAAGTTGGGGAAAAATCATTTTTGAGAAAATGGATTTTCTGATGCTTAGACACCCATCCAGCTCTGTACAAAATAAAATTGCTCTATCTAATTTTCAAATATGACAAAAGTATGGTCTCCATTTTCTATGAACATTCATTGGAAATGCACATACTTGAAGTGTTTTTTTTTTCTTTTCACACTTCTTTCAGAAGTACCGATGACTTACAGGCATTTCCTGAAGTTTGTCATGGACAATATTAACACGTTTGGTGCCATTTTAATCAGGAAGAATGGATCTGTGCGGTGATGCTATTTTAAACGAGAATGTCTTTTACATTATAATTACAGTACTTTTTAAGTAACATAACCCTCTCATATAAGACCTAAAATGCCATCACCGCACAAATCACACCTCCGTGAATGCAGTATGTTGCATTGAAAGATTTTGATAATTTACGAATAACTTTTCTTCAACGACCCGTAACAATTACCTAATCAAATTAGACCGATCTCCCATAACTCTGGTTTTTTGTAAAGATGTTCAATACCTGATCGCATATTTGGAATAGGTGCGAGATGCGTTATATCAGTGTGTAATATAATAAGTATTCTTTCATAAATAATAAAATTACTCTAAAGCCCCTTTGATTGATTAGGGCGGGAAAGTTGCTTCCATGCAGGCATGCGCATGTAAGCATACATATTTATAATTACCTAGGTGCTGAATCTTACCCCTCCCCTTGTTATTTACTCGTATACAGTGTTGCTAAAAAAAAAAAAGGAGCGCGGTATTTATAGTATCAGCTGAGCATAAAGGAAGGATTAGAGAGAGAGAGAAAAGGCATACTCACCGCACGCCTCGTAAATAAACGGGACGTGCCCTGGCGTGAGCTGTACCGGTTGATAAATAATAATATATAGGATTCATAATAGCTAAATACTATTGGAGCTAGTAAGAAAACCTTTTCTCCGGCACGCAAAGCGTCTACGGCTGCAGCCAGTATTCCGACCATCTTCAATGCCCCTCTTCTTGAAGGACTAACGCGGGTGTCGGATAGCAGGCTAGGAACGTCAAGAATTTATCACCAATATTAAGCGAAAGTAAAAAGATTGTTTCATATATTTTTGAATATAATCTAGAAACTTATCCTCTGCAATTATTCCATGACAATCCGCAATCAAATTAACTTTTATATGCTACCAAATAAATGTAGCATGGCGTTTCGGGCGTACTCGAGCACGGAGATGTATATGCACCTTTATGTATTATATATATATATATATATACAAAACTCCAAGCTACAAACTGAACAGACAAGCTGATACAGGCGAATCGTGATAGTTCCCAGCCGGCTTTTATTTTAACATTGTTTTCAGGATCAGCTACCGTACCTAAAACGAGCGCACCCTACGGCAACATATCTGTCTTAGTGCGTACCGGCGTAGCGCCTGCAGTTTTCCTCCCTCATGAAACAACAAACGCAGAGCCGCCACGAAGCGGAGATAAACTGTATAAATCCATCGGCGCTCTTTCCTCCTTTCCCATCCCGCGTAGAGAACCAGCAGTACGAGCTAACAGCGCCATTTCGAAGCGAGACTCGACTCAACTTCCCCGGAAATGTACGGAGAAGCCACATGGACCGCCCTTCCTCGACGTGCACCCGGCAAACCCACATCGAACCCATGTCCCCTCGGGGCCTCGTGCCTCGCCAAACTCATGAACTCACGCCCCTCAGCAAACTTACCGAACTAACGCCACTCACTCAACGTCAAACTCACGACTTTTCGAGGCTTACCAACTCACTCAACCCCATCTCACGCCTGATCGGTAGTGAGTGGACTCATGAATGAGTTTTGCCAAGGTATACAAATAGGTCTTATTGCAATGGCACCATCGACTGGATAGTGCCGAACACTCCCATGAGCTTTTGCAGGGTGGTGAAAACGTCTTAAATGGGCGCTGACACCATAAAGGTCGTATTTTTTTTTGTCTAAAACGATGCAAATTGTAGTCATAGAAACGCAAAAAAAAACCGCATCGCGAATAAAAAGTTACCAACGCGCGCGCGCGCCTTTTTATTTTTGGCGTTCTTCTCTCCCGCTCTTCACCTCCTCGCATCTTTTGATTGGTGACGTTAAAAATTATGAAATTTAGAAGCTTTGTAGGCGAAATTTCTACATTTAATAACGGCAATCATAAAACATGTTTTTTAACACAATTGGGAACGCACTACGGCCCTTCTTTTTGAAATACCAAATATCAGAGTCCGTTGTGATGTCGCCTCCTGGATTTGTATCCTCCCTCAGAAAACTTGGCGGCGCTCGAGCAGAGAATGATCGGAGAGTCGGGGAACCGGACGAAGAAACCAGTTTTTCCCGGTCCGCCGGCGTCCTTCTCTACCGCTCCTTACCTCCTCGCTTCGGGTCGTGGTGGTGAGTGGGGGTGCGAAAGAAAGTCGACTCGCAGGAGACCGCAAAATTTGACGTCACTGCACTAGCGCCTATCGCGCGGGAACTTCAAATTCGGCATTTGGAAATTGTTTTACTTCACAAATACTATATTCCCAAGTTTCAAATTGTGATGGTAATGTCCCGGCATCGTTTTCAATCGTTTCGGATAAAAAAAAAAAAAAAAAAAAAAAGGATTTTGATGGGTCAGTGCTCTTTTAAGGCGAAAGCCTTATGTGTTTCATTGTTCAATCTTTGAGCGAAAACGCGTCGGTGACACGAAAGGTTCCAAAACCCACGGTTCGCCTCTACACCACGAGATGGCGTTACTTGTGTCGGAATCGGCAGAGGCGTGCGCACGGCGCAGACCCAGCGGGAGAGGACACTCTCGCTCGGCCAGCGGTGAAGAGCGGGTGTGCGACATGCCGCGAGATTAACGGCGCGAAAAGTGCGTGGTCAGAGAGCGCGCTGTCTTCAGAGGTTCCCTATCACCGGGATCGGAGCTGTGGCTTTCGCCTTCAAGTAGCATTAGAGATAACAAAAGAGACCCCGTGAACTTTTTAAAGAATTTCTTTAATTCAGATTTAACGTTTTCTGCGGACCCAGCTGATGCCCGGATATTCTGGTGTCAAAAGGGAACTTCCCATTTCGCTTTCCTGGGCAAGGTGGGTTCCTTTCAGTCCCTCTCAGTCTCCGAGGGCAGGGGAACTGCGGAGACGGCATGCGCCAACGATGGGGTCGGTGTAGAGGGAAACTGGTCACTTCTTGTGACGCTTGCCATGCTTACTTCTTTTCTTCAGAACCTTCGGTGGTTTTCGTGGCCGTAGATCCGTTTGTGTGTCTGTACTGGTAACAGGCGGGGCTTGAGCGATGGCGTCTGCTTTCTTCTCTTGTTCCGCGCCCACTGGGCTCTTCGGGTTCATATGTGCGTCCTTAGATTCGGGACTAAGGCAGGATTTGTTTTTCGGTCCGCTGCTCCTGCTGTTTTGTGCGTTCTTGGATTCGGGCCACTCCTGTTTTGGCTTCTGGCTCAAGTGCTCCGATCTGACTCTGGCCTCCAATGGCGGGTGAACTGTGGAGAGGGCACGTGCCACCGATTCCACCGATTGAGCCTGGTGGAAAGGGAGACTGGTCACATTTGAGGCTTGCACTGCGACGGGGGCTTTCTGAATATTGCCTGCACTCACGGGTTTCTTGGGTCCGTACGTGCGCCTGTATTTAGGGGCCTGTTGCACGACTTGTTTTTCGGCCTGCTGCTGATGCTGTTTTGGGGTTTGGGCCGCCGATGATCGTTGGGCCTGCAGCTCCGGTGCTCTGGTGCGGCTCTGGGGCCCTTTTTTTGTTTCTTTGGTGTCTGGGTGATTTGCTGGCAACTTTGGGTTACTTGTTCCTCCTGGTGTTCGCTTTGGGAGGTAGGGGAGGTCGAGTGGTCCATTGTGCCGCCCTTTTGCCCTTGTTCCTGCGGCAAGATTAGCTATCTCTTGCTGTCGTCTTTGTTCCTCCCGACGCGCTTTCTCCACCGCTCGGGCTTCGGCCCAGTCGCCCCCATTGTTGGCGGCTCTGATGACGATGTTTTTCTCTCTCTGGTACGCCGGGCAGCGGCGATCGAAGGCGTCGTGCAAGTAGGGGCAGTTGGGGCATTTCGGCGTATCCTTGCGGTCGCAGGCGCCCTTCGGGTGGCGTCCGGTGCACGTCGGGCACCCGTCCGGGAGGGTGCAGGCGGCGCTCACGTGTCCTAACCTGCCGCAGTTGCTGCATTGGAACGGTCTGGGTTCGGCGATTGCGACTTCCTTGCGTACGCCCCATAATGTCACGTGGGTCGGCAGTGGGCCATCGAAGTGGAGCATCGCGACTTTCCCTCCGCCCAGCCGTTGGATGTTGATGATCTCCGAAGGCGAATCGAGACCCTTTTTCAACTCCTCCGTCGTTACAGTCGGGGGTAGTCGTTTAATCAGCCCGACGCTCTGCGCCTGCGGGGCTGGCTTGCACGCTTTGACCTTAATGTCCGCAAGGGTAGTGGTTTGGAGTAAGGCCTCCACCGCATCCGCGTCAAAAGTGTCGACCGCCGCGATGCTTAGGCGAGTGTTCACTCTGCACTGCGTAATTTTCCGTTTCGCAGTAAGTGTCATATCCTTCGCGATCGACAACATGTTTTCTTTCGTGAATCGTCCCCCTTCTACAGGGCGAAAGAGAATGGTCGTGATGTTCGTGGCGAGGGTCTTGTCGTTCGTTTCACGTGCGGAAGTCAGGGTGGGAGTTGCGGTAGGGGAGGTCCCTTTTTTCTTCTCGACAGTGGTCGGCGTTTGGTGTGTCAGCTTGGCTGTTGGTATGACTAAGTAGCTGGTCGCTGATGTTGCACCAGCCCTTGCGATTCCTTCGGCGGTCGAGTCCAGCATGTTGAAGCCTTCGCTTCACCTGCCACTGGGGAGTAGAGGTTGTGTGTGGACGGGTCTGTCTACGCCACTTCAGCTGTTTTGGTCGTTCGTGGGAACCGCCGACGGCAGGGGAGTACAGGTGGCGTTTTTGCCCTGCTGAAATTAAAATAATTAAAATGTAGCCGAAAATCTCATTGAACCCACGAGTAACTGGTTGAAACACATTCAGCTGAATGCATTAATTGAACAAAAAGCTCTGTGCTCGTATTGGTAATTGGTTATCTTTTACGCACAAAGGGCTGCACGCATTTATGACATCAAAACCGATGTGTTCCTGTTGATAACAGCTACTGCTATGCACAAAGGGCTGTATGCAATCATGGGACAAAAAATGAGGAGCAAAGCTATACGCGCTCCGGAGTGCACTTTGGACGGAAATGGCTATACGCACTCCGCGGAGAGCTCATTCCGCTCGGGCCACCCTTTACGAACGGCGCGTGTATCACTGGGGAGCGTGCTAAGCCAGCCCCCGCCTGCGTTCACGCCGCTTCGTGGCGACAGTGTGCGGCTTCTAATTACAAAACTTAACCAGTACACGCCGCTTTGCGGCGTCCAGCCGGCAACCCAAGCCCCGCTGTCCCCGATCGCACCTCCGGAAAGGGAGTCCCATACCATTTAGTTCCGCGAAGTTTCGTCGACAATATTCTTTCTTTTTTTTAGTGTTCATCGCAAAAAAAAAAAAGAAATGTCGTAAATATCGCCAAATGCCTCGACAAAACAAAATGTTCGAGAAAAAAAAAAGAACAAAAAAGTAGGCCCACTGCGGATCGAACCTGCGTCCACTTCCGTATAAAGCGGACACCTTAATCTTATGCTATGCCATCCCTCAGAAAACTCTTTGTGATCCATTTGTTTTATACGAGTTTAGCGGAGTACGTATAGCCATTTCCGTCCGAAGTGCACTCCGGAGTGCGTATAGCTTTACTCAAAAATGAAAACCGTTTACAACTCCCTGTAACACCGAATTGGAGCGAAGCTCTTGAGCGAGGGGGATGGAAGGGTACTGAGGGGAGGGTATACGCCTCATCCCTCCTCCTCACCTCTTCATCCTGCCTCCTACTCCGCCACGGGGGCCACGTGGCCCCCGTGACCTCAGAGGGGGTCACGTGACCTCGCGGTTACGCCGACGCCACTCAAGCCGGAAACGGGCACCTAAAGGCTGGACTCCACGGGACGAATATGCTGCGAAAAATCGAAGAATTTTGTCCGGCGGCTTATGCTCTGCGCGTAGAATCAGCACAGTGGCTGCTACGTCGCGCGCAAAATGAGCGTGCCGTAGAACGACGTTTGTCAGTTATTCGTCGCATAATTCGCTCTATGGGGTTCACCCTTTAGAGCTGCGCTCAAAAACTTATGCGCAGCTATTGGCCCCAGGGCAGTGAACAGGAGGCGCCTCGGTCGGCTGCTGGTCAGCGCGGCTGGTGGCCACAAAGGGCAACTTTGGGAAGGCAATATCAACGAGCGAATGGATACGAGCACTGCCTAACAGTTTGGAAGGGCGCTCGAAGACTCGAGATCTGGTCCAATGATCGCGGCCGCGGGCCGTCTTAGAGGTGAAAAATGCCCCATAAGATGACGCCACTTTTCAAACCAAATTTAAAATAGGATTTTATGCATCTAAGGGGGAAACACTTATGTGCAGCTGGTGGTAATAAGTGCTGTCGTGGAGATAGGGTTCCTCGCATTTATGGGGTAAATACCTTTGTGCTCCTGCTGGAAATAGCCGTGCACATTTGCCTTCAGACATTATAAACCAAAAAACTCTATGTAGCAAAGGGCTATTCAAACAGAGCGTAGGGTGGGCTGGGGGGGGGGGGGGGTGATGCATTCATTGCCTGCTTCACTGCATTCCATTGATCCAGGACGGAAGTAGACGGTCCAATCATTGAATGGGCTCATAATCCGCCGACAAACAGATGCAACTTATCGCGTTGCCGCATAGACTTGAATCACGTGATCTTGAAAGCGGTCAGCAGTGCTTAGCTGGGTGCTGTTGACCACTCTCCCCAACCGAGCGTCCTTTACGTTTCTAGCTAAGAGGACGATCTCAGGTGTTCATGAAAATCATAGCACACACAGAATTAATATAAAAACTGCGCAATTTGACCTACCGTAGAATACCGTGCATCCGCCGATACCACGCCCATGCCCCGTTTTTTCGCGATTATCTCTAAATTTTGAGTGGGCGCTTGCCCGGTATTTTACTATGCGATATCCTTCTCAGAAGTGACATGGTAATTATCTTTAATTCTCCAAAAAGAAAAAAAAAAAAAGACTTGTGGAACCATACCATGTCTGGGCTAGTGATATAGATTTACTCACACTGAATGAAACATCCTTCAGAATGTATGTCGCTCACACAGTACTGACCTGCTGTCTAAATTGTTATGAAGAATATTTGTTTCCCAAGCTTTAAGATGGACTTGGTCCTTTTGTAGTAGCGAAAAACTTCCCTCTCCGCCTTAACATCACGTGGCCGGGCTTTAACCTGGCACAGAGCAGTGGCGCTAATATAATTACTGGGCCTAACCTCGTTTTCGACGTGTTCCAACGGCGGCAAGTTGTCATAATTCTTATAGTGTCTGTCCTGTTGTTTTACATCGGAGCTGTTAAGGGCTAGTTTCCCCAGTTTCGTGTCCGGTACCAAACAAATGTCGACACAAAACTACACAAAACTCTGGACAGCTACCGCCATCTATGAGCGACGGCGGAAACCAGAACACCAATCTGGTTGCCGCCATCGCTCATAGAAGGCGGCAACCTTTCTAGCCTTTCTGTCATGGTGCGCGATGGTCCGGTGGTCGCCGTCGTGTACGTCCTGTCCCGTCCCGTCCCCTCCGCGACGCCCAAGAGAGACATTGAAGCATTCATGGACGTCTTCGGCTAGGTTCTGCTCGGCGACGACACGTCTGCCGTACTGACGGGTGACTAACTTTGACACTGCACGCAAGGACGAAAGTGGTTCACTTCATTTATGCTCGAGCGCTTCGGGCTTGCGCGTGTGAACAAACCTACGGTGCCCACGACCAAGCATTGGACGTGTATAGACCTCGTCTTCACGAAGAGCGTGCCTGCCGTCAGCGTACACCCTATGGCGGTGTACCACAGCGATCACAAGGCCATGGTCACTGTGGTTGACGAAATAAATAACCCCGGATCGTTATATATGTTTCATTATTTAATCGTTCAAATAACCAATTAAACAATCACACATTGATCCTTACATTTATAAATACTTCATCCCCACCATAATACAGCTTGGCTGGTCTTCCTTGTTCACCAGGGTGGAAAGGCTGACAGTTTTTTTGCCTTCCACTTCAACACTAAGTGGAGCAAAAAAAAAAAAAAAAGGTTGGGTAAAGGTTTTAAAAAGATAAAAACTTGCTTCAGACATTTCCTGGCACTTGTTCGATTGTGGAAGGGCAACTAAGGGCCATATGCGACTACTAACCCGAGATCTTTAATAAGCTGCAAGCTGCTGGGGTTGCACGACTGCACACCTGCCAGTGTCAAAGCAAGCAGGGTGACCCCAGGTAGATGACTGGCTGAGTTGATGTACAGCGAGCGTTTAGCACAGATTCGATTCCAACACCTCCACACTTGTTTTGAAGCTGTGGATTGCTAAATGCATAGCATTTAATATAGGACCAGTTCTTAACACTTTTGTGCCCATGCCGGTTCTAGCCTCAATGGGGAAGAAAGGAGGGAGCTGCGGAGGGGGGCGAGTGGTTGAGGTGTGCTTACCCATTCCCTTCAGGATGTTATGTTAAACCATAATGTCACCTGACTGATGTGTCGGCGGCACAGGACTATCATCATCGCCACCGGCCAGCGGAAGGCCCTGATCCTCAGCGCGTGCAGGGTGCGCGCTCGGTCGTGTTTTTGTTCTTGATTTCCGAGCGAACTGTCGTTTCGCGCGCTTGTCGGTTCTTGCTTTTACTAAATACTCAGACAGCCGGTGACGGCTGCTCGGACTGCTCGGACATCAGAGTTGGCGACGAGAATCAGCACTCACCGGATGATAGCCTACACTTAGATTGCCGCTTCGACAGCGGGCGATGACGAGTGCTACGCCATGGCCACACCCGAGTTCGGTCGCATATTAAAGTTCAACAGCCGTTCCAGCTCCTAAAAATCATGGTACGGGCGGCTGCAATTTTTTTTCGAAGCTAACAATATAAAGGATGCTTCGAAAAAGACAGCACACTTGCTAATGCTGTGCGGTGAAGAGACCTACGACGTGGTCTGCGCTCTTGTTTAGCAGAAGCAGCACCGACAGGTGACCTTCGAAGAGATTGTTCAAGCTCTAGAGGCTCATTTTTACCCGCAACCTTCGGAACTCTACTGCAGAGCACGCTTCCAACGCCGCAACCAAGAGGACGGTGAAACGGTCAGCACCCGAGATACAGCACTAAAACAACTCGCAGCAAACTGCAATTTCGGGACCACCACTAAGGAAGCGTCCAACCCGACACTGCTCCTAGGAAATGGGAGGCACTCACTTGATCGAATGACGTTTTAGCGAACGCCCACGTTTGACCGAATGACACTTTAGCGAATAGTCGGACGCCGCGAAGCGGCGTTTTCGGGTGGGCCTAATGGGTTCACATTTTTGTAATGAGCCGCCGCAGACTGTCGCCGCGAAGCGGCCTAAAGCGCAGCGCGGTGGATGGGTTAACGCGCGCCCCCGTTATTCGCTAAAACGTCCATTCGCTCAAATGTCGCTGTTCGCTAAAATGTCATTCGCTCATGTCATATGGACCCCTAGGACATTATGCTGCGCAACCGTCCTCTTTACGGCGTCTCTTCGCGGGAAAGGACTTGACATTTCAGAGAGCCTACGACTTCACCCGGCGAGCAAAAAACGCGATCGAAGACCAGCGGAAAGCGAAGGCAGAATTCCAAGAAGTGCAGAAGGCAAGTGCAAGTGGCGGACCAACGCGACATCCACATCAGTCTGTCAAGAAACCGAAAGAGCAGAACGCGCAATGTTGTTGGAGGTGCGACGCACAACGCAGTCTGGAGATTTGCAAATTAAAAAAAAAAAAAAAAAGAAATTGTCTTGCAGGTATTGAGAGAAACGCGGACACATAGAAAAGGCGTGCATCAAGAAGCGGAAGGAAGCGAATTACTCGCACCGAAATCACAGCATGGAACTACCTCAACACCAGCTGTCGGGTTCCGACACTCAGCAGCAACGTCAAAACTGTACGAGCTCAACTCTGTGTCACAAACTACCAATGTGCCAAAGTTTACAATGAAGGTATTAATTGACAACAGGTGCTTGAATCTTGAAGTGGACTCCGGAGCAGCCTGCACGCTCATCAGTGAAGCGACATACAACTCCAAGAGGACAAACAAACCACCTCAGCTGGAGACAGACTTGTGCGTAATCCGTTACAAGTAACGAAATTACTTGTTATCCCTTACATTTATCGGTAATTTAGTAACGAAATAATTACATATTTTCTAGAGTAATTTTAAAGTAATTCCCTTACATTTTTTACGTAACAGATTCCTTGTAATACGTTACATTTTTTTTTTCAGGACGCCCCCGCCCCCCCCCCCTCCCCCCCCCCCCCCCCCCCCTTTCTAAAGAAAAGGTCGTTTTCATTTTGGTAAAGTTGAGTGCAGTGACATTGCCACGCGAATTGACCAGCGCAAAGGGAGGCTTGGCACACCTCAGTTCCGCAAAGCCTTTTTTTTTGCACCATCAAGACCCTGAATCTATTTTTTTTAGACCCTAACAACAATGTCAAATGATCCGAATAAACATTTCTACAAGAAAAAAGGGGGCTGGTTGGGGGGGGGGGGGGGGGGCAAGTTATATCCGCTTTTTTTAGTGTCTTTGTTTTTTCTTTGCGATCGAAGGCGGGGAGAGGAAGACACCAAGTGATTGTATGCCTCTTCGAGAAGCTCAGGTTGTAAGTGCACAGACAAGAATTAACAATGTGCTTCTCGGTTATAGTGACTACGACCATTTTCATGATGTCACAACACGAGTCAATGCTCAGTCTACCCTAAAATCCACTAAAAGAGATGTGATAATATGTGAAGGTGTTATTGCCACAAGCATCCTCGTTCGTCGATGCACACTTATCATCGTCTCTTAGAAAACATTGTTTTTTTTTTCTGCTTGTTTCACCGTATTCGACCCAGTTTTAAAAGATATTTACTTTTTTGTAGTCCAACTTCTAGGGTTGGCCCACTTTATTTGTGAATTCCAGCCAGGTTATCTGCATCTCAGTTACCCTATCGTGAATCAGCTTTTTGCGAGCACTTCGAAAATGGTAATACGTAGTCTTCTTTTTTTCTTCTTCCTGTTTTTATTCCAGCAGGACGCATCTGATCTCAAGTAAATATTTTTTTACAAATAAAACACAATGGTGGCTGACGTGGACTTGATATTCTGGGCTTGAGGAGAGAGTGAAACTCGTGAGTGGGGCCACAGCGCGGCTTACTTAGTACTCTACCCTTCGCTGCCCGTGGCGTCAGTAAACGTCTATCTGGAGAACACCGGAGTAAACTGTAGTCGGTTCATGCTGCGTGCGTTTTTGAACGGCAATAAGAAAGGTACACGTGGCAAACGTGCGTTTACATTCCCTTGTTTTAACCAACGTTCTAATTAATTGTTGTTATAAGTCCCCAGTTGTTGTTCTTTTCTCAATTACTTATATTTAAATATTGGAAACTTTTTCTCATTCACCAACGTCTCAACCGAGGCTCGACCTGTTCAGAACCAAAGAAAAAAAAATATCGAGCCAAACCTTATTATCACCTTACTGTTACCAACTCTTCTAAACTCTCGAATATCAGGCAACAGCTGCAAGGAGGAAGCTTTGCTGTATCTTCGAAATAGATATAGTACTTCCATTGCTTCGCTGAAAAAGCTCAATGCGGAACATAAAACATTCGTGAGGCACAATATGACACTCCCATTCAGTGCTTCAGTTCAAAGTGTGTTCAGCGTATCAGTGGACATCTTCAGTAAGAAATAACGCAAAATGTCTGACGAGACTTTCGAGTCAGCTGTTGCTGAAAATGCTCAAGGTCAATAGATGGAACAGGTGCCAACAATAGGAACTTGAATAAACTTCTTCCCTTTGTTTCTTAATTGAGGAAAATAATGTTGAAAGTAACGCCACGAAAGAAACGGATTACTTTTGGGGGTAACGGTCACTTACTTTTAGGGGATGGGTAATTGTAATTGTAATAAATTACAATTTAGCCTCGAGTAATTGTAAATGTAATTCCTTACAATTTTTCAGTAACGTGTACAAGTCTGGCTGAAGACTCAAACATCTTGCGATGCACATGGTCAGGTCAGTCTCTTGGAGTTCTAGGCACTGCAGCAGTGTTAGTCACACACAAAGACAAAACCTGCAGTCTGCCACTCATGGTTGTCAAGGGAGCCGCGGTTGCTACCTTCTCAGACGGAGCTGGCTTCCACACCTCAGCACAGACATTGCTGTAATTAACGATTTCTCAGATGACGGGCTTGTCTCCAGATCACTTATTACAAGTACCAGTCTTTGTTCAATCGCATCACAGGACACGTTGGTCCTGCCGTGCAACAAGAACTTGTGGACGGAGCACCTCCGAAGTTCTTGAAAAACGCGCTCGGTTCCCTTCGGTCAAATGTAGACTGAACTGAATCCATTTCAGCAGCAAGGCGTCATGGAACAGACTCAGCATTCCGACTGGGCAATGCCTTTAATCCTAGTAGGAAAAGAAACGGAACGCTGCGCATCTGCGGCGACTACCGTTGCACCGTGAACCTTACAGCAAAGAAGGCAGCTTATCCACTTTTAACAGCAGATGAAGTCCTCAGCAACCGGGAGGAAGCAAGTATTCAGCACTACCGATCTGGTCCAAACTTACCAGAAACTTCATGTTGCCCCAGAAACAGCTGAGTCCTGACCCTCAACACGCTGAAGGGACTTAAGTCAAGAGACTTCCTTTCGGAATCTCCGCAGCACCGGCCATATTCCAGCGCTCCGAGGTGGCTGTGCGTACCTTGAGGATGTCATAATCCGCGGAATACAAGTGTAGCTTCGGAGTTCAATAGGTCTTCTTTCTGGGACACCATATCGATGGCTCAGGGGTTCACACGACACAAGTGCGAGCCATAGTGGACGCTCCAGCACCAACTTGTAAACAAGCTCTACAGTCGTTTCTCGGACTGCTTGCTTTCTACGACAGATTTCTGGAGAAACAGGGCAACCATCGCCAGCTGTCTCTACGAGCTGCACTGGAAAGGTTCTGCGTGGAAATGGGAAGAAAAGCACCAGAAAGCGTTCGAGCAACTGAAGAATCTGATCCTCCAACATACAGCGCTGGCTCACTACGACGAGAGGAAGGAGATCCTTGTTTCTTGCGACGCTTCGCTGTACGGCGTGGGAGCTGTCCTTGCTCAGCACGATGGAAAAGGCAGAGAGGCACCAATCGCTTTTGCTTTTAGGACACTAGGACCAGCAGAAAGAAATTTGGCTCAGCTGGACCGAGAGGGCCTTGCAGTAGTTTTGGAAGCCCGAAAATTCCACAAGTACAATGCAGGAAGGAAAGTGACGTTCATCACAGACCATCAACCGCTGCTTGGTATACTTGGGCCAAAGAAACCGACAGCTCAAGTCTTCTGTCCCCGAATGACCAGGTGGTGCATCAAGCTGTCTACATATGACTATGGCATCATCTACAGGAAAGGCAGGAAACACCAGAATGCTGACGCATTGAGCCGACTGTCATTACCAGACAGTGACGATGAACCATGGCCACCTGGTGACATATTAATGTTTGAAGCCCTAACAAGACTACCATTCACAGCCACAAAGATAGCTCGTCTCACACAGCAAGACAGCACTTTGTGTGAACTGTACACTGCCGTTCAAAATGGCACAGTAGACAAACTCACAGGAGATGTGTTTACACCCCACCAGCAAAGATCCGCAGCACTGGCACTTCATCAAGAATGCCTTACCTGGGGTTCTCGAGTGATCGTACCAATGTCAGCACGTCCTTGTGTACTGGCATTTATACACGCAGGCCAGACGCATAGTGGCTATGAAGAAATGCGTACGCAGCTACGTGTGGTGGCCACCCTAGTAAAAAATCCAAAGAAGATTTCTATTGGATCGATAGTGTGGAATTCTCTTCGTGCACATGATGAAGCACAAACGGAGTCTGTTCTGAGACGCCTGGCACGCATAGCTTATGATAGACATTTTGGCAGAAGACATTTTTATAATTATGAACTCCTCCGTTGCTAAATTAGGGCTTCAAGTTTTATCCGCCAGAAGGCTGGCACGTGATATAGTATTTTTGTACAGAGTAATTCATAATGATATAGACTCCAAGCTTTTATGCAAAGTTAATTTTAATGGTCCGGCTCGTTTTAATAGGAGTGCTTTTACTTTTTACGCTCAGAACAATCTAATGTCATCGAATTTATCTAGAATGCAGATATTTGTCAATAATTTTGGAAATGAAAATTCAGATATTTTCAATAACTATGTTGAATTCGACAATTGCATAATATGCTATTTTATTCTTAGTAATGTATTAGTTACTCGAATGGATTTCTGTTCTTCATATGAATTTATGGATGTATATTTTGGCATGTGGAATTATTTCTGCACGATTATTTTCTTATCGTTTACATACCAGTGCCGCATTACAGACTTCTGGTCGTTTATGGGCACAATAAAGTGACATGATGATGGTGATGATATAACCAATTGAAATTTCTATATTACCATAAGATATTTCTACTAGACCAATAGCAATTTCTGTCCACTTAAGATTTCTGCTTATCCAATAAAAACGGCTATTGGTCCTATCGATAGTTCTACTGAATCATAGAAGATCAGCCAAAGTGAAAACTTCCAGCACACCTAAAAACATTCCTTTTGGTTGGCCAAGCATCTAGAAATATGTTTTGTTTGTTTTTTTAGTTTGAATAGTTTTTATAGAATAGTGTTAATGTGACACACTCATCACCGACTTTGATTAGTGTTCTCAACAATTCTAACAGCTCTAGCTAAGGTTTGCGGAGTGGAGTACACTTCAATATTAGGATCACTTCCTATCGAGAAAAATTCAACAAGCATTGCAATGCATACTTTTGTGAAGGAATTAAAAAAATAATAAAAACACTGCGTAATTTGAAGATTGAAGCTCTAGAATAATTTAGCAATAAAAGATAGTAAGCTGGCTCTTACTAATTAAAAATACACTTCATGACCAAATGAGAAAATAGTTTCAAGACTGAAAAAAAAACAAAAAAAACATCGGCTCTTCCATTTCATAGCATCTGATGCAACATCAATACTTTACTCTTATCAATTTTCTGTATCTTGTTTAGTATTTTTCTTTTTTAAATAATAAAACTATATCACTTTATATGCTAAGGCTTGTTTCTTCTTTATTTTAGAAATTTTAGTTAGTTCCGTTTTGACCTCACAATGGAATGCCCCATCGCTCTGACATCCATCGGTTTGATTTTTCATGGCAAGTACCGCGAGTAAGGAATGCCTAAGGACGTAAAATTGCATCAGTTTCTTTAACTTTACCAATGTTCAAAGGTTCTTTTCACTACCAAAGTGTTCAAGAAAAGTCTGGAAAACAACGACACGCTTGGGCTAACAAGCAGCTCAGTCCTTGCCCTGGAAATTGTATTGCTCCAGAATCTATCTACTTCTTTGGTCACTCGACGAGCCTCCGAAGCCACGGAGACGACCGACTTGGTTGTGGTCAGTACGACAAAGCAAAGCTGGGTCAGCTGGGGCCTTTTCCGTAGGCCAGAAGGACGTCACTGTTGTCGTGCTGCTTGAGTATTGGCGAGGAGATCGAACTATAGGGGCGCTTTGACACGTTTGTTGTCCCCACACCTTGGCGTTTACCCAACACAAAGCCTGTGGACATGCCCACAAGCCTTGTGGGCATGTGCGTATCTTAATGTAAAAATACTAACAATAAACTAAGTGGCGTTTATTGTTAGTGCCGGATCCCTCCCCAAAACAGTCGTCACAGAATGCGAGCTTGACCCACTCCGGCTTTTGTGCTGAGCTGGGCTTATACATCCTGAAGCTGCATTGTTCACGCAGGCTGGAGTGGTAACAAAAGAGCCCTTCCTTCCCCTCAGGCGACCCGAGAACACGAACTCCAACCGAACGCTGAAGCGGAGTTCGATTAAGTGAGCGCAGCGCTGAGTCATTGTTATTCGTTGTCCCCATCGGAGTAGTTCTAAAGTTGGCCGCTTGTGGCGCCACGGTCTGATGGCCTCCCCAATAACTTTGAGAAGTGTAACGGAAAGATTGGGTCAAAAGCAACCCTATTCTTTCGTTCAAATTAGCTAATTAAATGTGATTTGTGAACGATAAACCTCAACCTACCTGCTACCAACAAAGTGCAGAAGTGGTCACGTGATCCTCGCTACTACGTCACGACGAAGGGGGCCCACCTCCCTTTATTTGTATGCCTGTGTCCGAAGTAACTTTACCCCAAGGTTCCGAGTTACGTTTGACATAACCCAATCAGAAAATTAAAGTTACATCCCGAGGAACTCGAAATAAAAACTAAAGTTACACTCGAAATGAAAACTAAAGTTACACTCGAAATGAAAACTAAAATTACATCCAACGTAACTTTACGCCAAGATTTCAAGTTACGTCCGATAGAACTCGAAATGAAAGTGAAAGTTACGTCCGACAGCAATAAAAGTTAAAGTTACGTACTGTGTAACCTGTGCAACCTTATTGAATGTTACACTCTACAGCCGATACATGACCTAAGCACAAACACATAGTGAATTATTACTATATTACGTCCAATGCAGCATTCGTTAATTGGTTAAAATGGCAACTTCATCTGTACCTCCCGGTACAAATAGATGCCCGTCACATTTTTTTTTTTTCTTGTTTTGTTTCTTTCTTTAAAGGGACTATTTTACAGGTTTTTAATTTGCACCAAACCTGAGCGCACTGAATGTAGTAACTTAGTAAAACTCTTCTCAAATTTCGCTTCATTTTAAAAGTTATAGGCAAATTGATATTACAAAAACAAGCAAAAAATAATCTCCTTCATGACGTCCTTGGTCGCTTGAGTGGCCGTGATCTAGAGGAGGGGTAGTGAGCTCAGCGAGCGCTCACGGCTGCCGCACTCCGTGTTGACGGCTCGAGAGGGCGCCACTAAAGCATGTTCTGGATAGGCTGAATGAAGCGGGCAGCCAGGGCGGCTCGCATTGCGTTTGCTGTGTGATTAAACACTAATTTGGCATGACACTTCATTGGCCACAAACGATAGCAAACATGGTGTAAAGACCAGTTCAGAACGGAAGCCACTTGGTGCTGCCATACCGCCAAAGGGCCAAACCGCAAGCCAAAGCTGCTCGCCGAAGGCCTTCGGAACGATCGGAACCACTCGAATCTTCGACTGCAGGGCCGCCGCGTACATCCGGAACCTTTTTACGCTCGCCACTCTGTGCCTGATCCCACTACACCTTTCTAGTATACGCCGTTCTTTCCACCGATTGGTGGCGGATATGTCGATGGGTCATTTCTTGTTTCCATACTTTATAAATTGCATTTGTTTCTTTTCTGATCTAAATACTGAACAAAAACTACTTTTATAAATAACGGAAACGGCTCGCGCCACTTATATTTTGTATTTCGACTAAAAAGCTTTTAGCGGCTGTCTGGTAGTAAGCCCAGGACCAAAGACGTCACATATCGTGCGCTTTCGGCACCGCGGGTCACCCCTGTAGGTGGATAAGTTTCCGTGTTGTCCGGTTAAAATATGACACACAGGTATTTAGTTACTCTCTCCGTGCCCGCTGGCTTGTCCGAACCCCAAGAGACGCGGAAACCGCAAAAAAGGTAGACACTTAAATATGATAGCAGGGCCCCTTTAAGACAATTTTTTTTCACCTTTAAGACGATTTCTTGCGACACTTTCTGAAAATTGCGGACGCTTGAAGATTATTGAGAGAGATAGAATAGTGATGTGATACGAAAGTGCTGTTTACAGCAGCAGAATTTCCGGCAGACTAGTTGAAAACTGGCACAATCGTCACATACCACTCAAGACGCCACGTACACTAGCTTTGGCAGTGTTTTCTTCCAGAGTGTCTTAAATAAAGAGCTGTTTCGAGGGGGCCGCCTGGGTGTGAGAATGACAATAGACCCTCGGCCCTTAGTCACATCAACTTTGCTCTCAGCCCGAGCCAGCAAGGGCCACAAGCAGGTGTAACAAACGTGGCAAGAATAGCAAAATGTTTTGATATCGAAAAAAAAAAAAAATGCAATGAGTTGTCTTAAAGGAGGAGAAGATGAGAAAGAAAAAAACCCATGCACCCAGCTTCAGCAGCCTCGATGAGCGAGGAACACACTCTACCGCTCTAAACAATGCTGAAGGCACGAATAGAGTTGAGCTTTTAACCGATTCACGAATGCTGCATCGGACGTAACGCAGTAATAGTTCACAATTGGGGGTTTTCGTAGACCGCGTTTCCCCCTCCGCTAAGCTCTCCGCAACGAAGAAGCCGCTACTGCGCCTGCGCGCCCATGGCCTTGACTGTAGAGTTCCGGGTATCGTAGCGGGTTGCGGAGAGCGTTGCGGGACGGCGAAAACGATCTACGAAAACTCCCTAATATTTTTGTATTTACGTTATGTATCGGGCGTAACTTTACTCTTTATTTAAAGTTCGGTCGGACGTAACATTAATTTTTATTTCGAGAATGTTCATAGTGGGTTACGTCGGAGGACATACCTTTAATTTTCATATTGGGTGACGTCGGACGTAACTCAAAACCTTGGGGTAAAGTTACGTTGGACGTAACTTTAATTTTTATTTCGGGTTCCGTCGGACGTAACGCTAGACACTGTGTTATTTTTAATATTTCACTACTTCCGAATCCAAACCTATAAAAAAAAAAAGGAAAGACAATGCTTTTTGCGAAATTACGTTCGCGTGGCCAATTTCAGGTACGTACTTACGTTTAATTTGAATTTTGCAAGGTGTGCGTCTCTGCGACCGCACCCTTTAGGCTCTAGTTGTTGCATGCCATTTTGTTTTTGGACCATAGACCGTTCCAGTTTTTCTGTTTCCCTCCCTGTCCTCCTCCATCGCTTCGTGCACTGAAATGCACATTGTGCCGTCAAATAATCTCGAAGACCGGCCCCGCATGTGACGTAAAGAGAGCCGAAATAGAATGTGGTCAACTCGAGACCGAGAATCTTGTAAGGTTAGTTCATAAGCAACACAAAGCTTACTTTGGTTTCGGTGGTGTTGCTGACTCGTTTTGACAAGCATTCGACAGCAATTAAAAGAAGCTAAAGAGCTATAATCCAAACTTCCGCCAGTCAAATGTCAAATTGAAACTTGAAATACCCCAAATAACTCCGAAGCTCGAAACTTCAAGAAGTGATGCTCGTGCCGATGGGGCACTGCCGCGCTGCAGAGTATGACAAACATGGCAAAGGTCGAACGAATAATAATAAAACTCCAGTAAAAAAAGTAAATTAAAATATCGTTGAAAGATATTTAGGAAATCACGAGAGTGCTTATCAAATTAAAATTTAAAGTAATATCAGCAAAAGTGTGTAGGGGTGTAAATGTTAAAGGCTAGATATCGCAAGCTACCGCCCAAAATAAATGCTATGTCTATCCAGTAGATGTTTTATTTCCGCCCACTGATCAGTGTTTCCGCCACTTCCGCTGCATTCGCCCTCAAAGTTGTGTTGGTCGTGTTTCCGCTGTTTTCGCCACAAGCCACACAAGCTACTAATTCATAGGTGATGCAAGATCAACTGGTGATGTATGTGTGTGATCTGCGGTGGATGTGAGGGATCGACAGCCAGAGCGATCGCAGTAATCGTGTCGAGTTAATCTCACGAACGGCAATGGACAGCACACTCTGTGGTTGACAGCGGCCCATGGCCGTGCCTGCGCTATTTTGCTCCAGACATCCGATCAAGGCACCGTCGGGAGCTCCGCCTGGCCGCTACAACACGTTGATTCGGGTTCGGACCAGAGCAGGCGCTGTGCGGACGACAACGACCGTGGTGTGATGTCGGCGGGTGATGTGCCTCCCGGTCTCTCGGGCCCGTCTCTCGTGCCGTCGTTCGTGCGCTTCGTCAACAGGACCGGACGTCGGGTGGACGTGATCTGGCTTGACTACAACGGAACGCGTGTCAAGTACAAGAGCCTGGAACCCGCTCAGGTACATGGCCGACCACGACCGCCCGGTAGGCAGGCGTCCGGAAGCGCTATCGGTAATCGAGCTGTCCATCGTTGATCGGGCCCCGACATCCTTCTAAAGAGTCGTGCCCTCCCGCACTGCTCCTTGACCGGATGTCAATAACGCATACCTGTTTTTATCGAGGAGCTGCATCGCTGCACCGAACAAGGCACACAGTAACAACTCGTCTAGGGAAAGTGCCATAGGAGCCTGCTTTGTAGAACGCGCTCCAGCCCGTGTTTCAGTGTCAAGCTAGATGCGATTGTAGCGCCACCGTTTCCACTGCAGCGACAACTCCGGGACCACTGTGTCCGGGACCTTCTCTCCAGCGAAGGTTCCGGAGTTGGCGGTCCCAGAGAGACGTCCTTCTCCAGCGTTTTTTCCGCTATCTCTCCAGCGTTTTTTTTTTTTTTTTTTGTTAAAGTGAAAAGAGATGGGAAGAGTTTCCCCTGAACTCTTAACCTGTCACCAGCAATATACATACCGAAATGGAGAAGATGGTACAGTCGCGCCTTCCTGCAGCTTCCTCGTGAGCTGCATGATCCAGAAAGTGTGCAGAAAAAGTGGAAGAACAAAAGCAGAAAATCTTGCCTGCGTTGGTAAAGCATACTTTTGCTGACCTCCCCATCTCAAAACAGATTATGTACCACCAACTAAGAAACTTGCATGTTTCGACTGTTGGCAAGAGGGTGGTGCTGCAATCAAATATATAGCTTGCAGTGGCTCGGTTCTGGGAGTGCGAGGAGTCCACATTTCAAGGTCGTGTCCCAACTGAGTTGCCCTATAACCAGACAGAATAGGAACAGCAGGGAGGAGTTTGTTCTCCCACCTCCAGAGCGCACTTCCTACTTTCTATGACGCTTCAGTGTCTCTTGAGCCTTGAGTGTGCATGTGGAGCCAAAGCACAGCAAAAAGCCGGTCGTCCGAAAGAGACGTGCTGCTGGTCTCGGTGTGGCAGTGGCTAAAGTTTTGCCAACACACATGGACAACCTACTGCCACCATACCCTGTAGTAGGTTAAGAAAAGCGGGACAAGTTCCCACTACCTTTTTGCTTCACCAAGCTGGAGAGGATGCGGGCCGACACCCCTCCTCCCTTGGCTTCTCTTCAGCATGTACTCGTTGAAGTGGAAAGAATGGGGGGCTTTGCCGCTTTTCTGAACCTGTGACGGAGTATTCGCGGACTTTGTTTCAACCATACGTTTAGATGCAGTCGACACTTTGAGCAGACGGCGTCAAAAGCGCACCATCATGGCGTTTGTCATGTTTCCGTACATGTTTTATCGTGGCTGAACCAGTCATAAACAGAAGAGACCTAGTGACTTGCGCTTTTTACAGTGCTCGATTGGTCCCATTACCTCATAGCATCGGCTGCATGTGGACTTGAGCTAAGACAAAGTATGGGCATCTTAGTGCAGCTGCGCTTTTATTCCAGAGAAGACTGCCCAGCTCTAGTGTAGCTCGGCACACTTTCGGAATGTGCCACACTGTGCTTACAGAATCAAACTCCACTGCCTTACAGGGCTGTGAGTGAACCAGACGTGCTCACACGTAACACTACATTGTCCTGCACACATCCTCTTGCCAGAGCTGTTTATACTAGTTTGGCCAATGGGTAAAGCCTATGGCCCGCTAGAGCAAGCCGGCTTTGTGATAGTGCTACACAGTGTGCCGTCTTATTGAGATGGACGTAGTCTGTTATATGTCTGAGACATAGATGACGAAGGGGACACTCTCCTGGTTGCCAGACCCCCAACCGTGGTTGCCGAACTGTCGGCATCATTGAAAGATTGCCCAACTCTCTCAGAATAAGTGGCTCTGCGTCTAGCCTTCTGCCGGCTCCCTTCCACACCCAGTACTTCCCTGCCGGACGGGTGGCTTCACGGGGCCCCAACGGGTGTTCTCCCTTGTGCAGGTGTTTGACGTGGACACGTTTGTGAACCACCCGTGGATCTTCCGGGACTCCCTGACCCACGACCGGCTGGTGGTGCGTCACCGGGAGGTGTTCCTGCCACCGGAGCCCGGGCGGGCGGGTCCCGGCGGGGAGCGGACGCGCAGGATAGTGCCCATCACCCTGCCTGGTCAGTGCCTCCGAACGGCAATCTCAAACCAACGGTTGAGACGGATTCTTCTCATGGGGGCAAGAAGCTGAAAGGCTTTGCACAGAGGCACCATTACAACCAAGGTGGATCCATATTTAACTGGATCCACCCATGGTTGTGGGTGGATCCAGTTAATCAGGATTTAAATCAGGATTTAAATTCTTATTACAATGAGGATTTAAATCCTGATTGTAATCAGGATTTAAATCATCTTCAATAAAATTGAAAATGATTTAAATTCTGATTACAATCAGACCAGTTTTACTATGACAATTTAAATCACATTTAAAATAATTCATATTCTCATTTCAAACCTTTTCCACAAAAATAATCCCAAAATAATTTTTTTTTTTTTAAATTTGCCATTGGTCTATTATTTTATGCTTGCTATGGGGTGCATTTGTTTTGTATTTAAATCGAGGAATCATTTATATCGGGGTGAACATGAACACAAAGCAGTGGTTTTCGAGAAAATCTTAGTGTTGAGCTCTTTTTCTTTTCTGCCATGCACTTTGTCAGTCACGTAGCAACCTATTGCAAGTAAATAAGAACATGAAAGAAACACTAGAAGAGTAACGTCTAATTGCAACAAAATCAGAATGCCAAAGAAAAAGCAAATAAAGCTTTTTCACTAACTAAAAATATAAAGCTGTATTTGTTCTATGTTGGGATTTACTAATAAAAAGTTGTTAATTAACTGTATGCTACATTTAGAGTAAGTAATTCTTTCTTCTGCATTGTTTTCGGTGGTTGTACAGATTGACCTATCAATCTGTCAGGTGTAAATATACATTTACCGGTTATGAAGCACTATTTTATAGCTAGAGTGATTTAACTCAAATGGATCCGACTTAAACCAAATAATTTCGATTGAAATCAAATGAATCCAATTTAAATCAATAAAATTTGATTTACTTAATTAAAAAAAAAAATTAAATATTGTTTTTCCCTGATTTCAACCCTTTTTATTAGTCTGTTGCAGGGGTAAGAATAGGACAACAAGTTCTTTTCACAGAGCTCTCTCTGATTGCTGGTTTCCTCCTCTCCAACATTTCCTCCGCTAAAGTGGAAAGAGTGGAAAGCTTTTTGGGAGAAGCTTGCCCACCTTTCGAAACCTGCAACGGAGCATAAGGGCATACAAACGGCGATCTGAATCAAATACAGCTGAACCTCGATTTTACAAAACCCGATTTTACGAATTTCCTGATTTAACAAACAAATTTGGATTCCCCGCGCAGCCTGGTCTCCCTTCCTCGATTTTACGAAGTTCCCGATTTAACGAAATAATTAGCGGGTCCAGGTGACTTCGTTAAATCGAGGTTCAACTGTAGTGGAATGTTGTCCCTGCCTCTAACACTGTTCTAAGATCAGGCTTTCGTGGCTTTCCTTTGCACGGTGCAGGCTGTAAATAACATATCATTATTCAATTTGAACGCCTGTTCGCACATCCCTACTGTTGTCCCTTTAGGAAGGGCGAGACGAGTTGTGGCCGAAGAGGCAAGCTGATAGACACTCACGATACCAAGTATGGTAGCGAGAAAAATGAAATAACACATTTTCCAGCAGTCGCGAATGTCCACAAAGTATTAATTTTTCCTGGGAAGAGAAAAATAAATTTTGAAGTTGATGCTTTTCCTAAGGCAACCAATGCTAGCTGTGCCTTACCGCCGGCTTTGATAGGGAGTGGCGCAAGGTTGGCACCCGACCGGATGCAAAACAAACGGCCTCGGGAAGTAGGCTCATGGTCGTGCTTGCGTCGACGAGTGGCTTCGACGACGAACGATTGAGTGTACGTCGGTCGGGCAGGGCGCTGTGACGTTGGTGGCTGGGGCGAGGAGCTGCGGAAGCCTCGAAGCACAGAGTCCCGCGTGAGGCTATTTGCTAAGCCCGTTCCTTTATGCAGCTGCGATCGTGTGCATTGGTGGAAGCGCCGCGCCAATAGCGCCTCTCTGTGTCAATCCACTTTCTAGCCAAAAAAAGATTTTTTTAAATGTTTTTAAAGCCATTGATTTCCATTTGATGAAAACAGGCATCAAGTGCCTATTTTCATCTAACGTGAATGATCACGATTTATTCCGGACCAGGTAAATAGATGCAGTGTTCCGTTTCGTTGTCTCATGTTGATGAGCTGTCAAGCGCCAGCAGCATGAGGAAGAACCGTGAGAGTCCACGTGCTCGGCCAACAATGGCCTGTGGGCATCTGATTTCCGAAAATGTGACACGCGTAGGTGTACTCTGACGTACTTCTGACGTAGCGTCAGAAGTACTAAACCATCAGTTCGTCGTTTACATTTTTTTTTCGCACAGTGGTGTCGAGCATGGCCGTGTGTATTTTAAATACCGCACGCATTAAATCGCTATACCATAAGGTCTCTTACGAACGCCCGTCCCCGAGAAATAACCCATCCCATTTTTTGGGCTGAATATCCATAGCATAAAAATTCCGAAACGTCGATCCTTTTGTTGCTCCTGAGCTGCTCCGAAGCAGAACTTTTACTGCTCCAAAAGGGCATCTTTGCTGCTTCCAGACCTGCTACAAACGGCTGAAGCTTGCTTCCACCCGTGCGTGTGCTAGCGCTTGAAGTTGGTTGCACAGCATTCCAGACACGCGTAGCTCGTCGCCAACAGCTTAAGAAACATCAACTGAGCTGCAGTTGTAGAACCGTGGTGGGAACAAGACAGAGTTCTCAGTTGAGGTTGGGCAGGCTGCGGTAGCAACTTCTGCCGATCCTTGGCAGAACTCTCATTGCGAAGCTGGAGCTTCAGGCGTCCTCGAAAATGGCGATCTATGCAGAGGTTAGAATCGCCTACAGCGCCTAGGGTGACCGTAGTCCGAGTAGAAGATGGGACGACGGAGAGCAAGGAGGGAAGTGAGGCGGAAAGAATAGCTCTGGGGGCTATTGCCGAGTCATTTCGATGTAAAAACATTTTCTTGGAGTTCTTCGTTGAAAACTCAAATGCCTTCCTTCCTCATTTTTTTTAGCAGTGGCAAAGAAATGTTGCCAACAGAGATGTGCCAAATTGAGTAATGCAGAGAAAAAGTCTCCCACAAAACAGATTGGCAGATGCCACCACAGAAAGGGCTCAAAATTGTATTCTATTGGAGGTAATACTGTCGTAGTGTGTTTATTGTTATAACACTATATCTGTAACGAGTAAAAAGTCTTTCAGTTTTTTTTCCCCCTACTTAGTACTGATTTAGCAACTGTGGACGTAACCACAACAACGGGACGCGAGATTGAAACAAAATGAAGGGACGGCATAATTGAAGCTCTAAAACGGGACTGTCCTGGCCAGAGTGCGACGTCAGGTCACTTTATGACGGCAAAAGGCTAGCCGAAAATAGAGAAGTGAGGACCAGCCAGATATTGACTGGCAGCCATCGAAGAACCACTCTCACACGAAGTTTGTGTGGAAGGCCTGGGCCTTATTGCCTAGATGCTGTCCGTGATGCTTGAGCAACTCGTAGGGTTTTTTGTTGGCTCTCAACTCTTCGGATGATGCGAGTTGCTGGGGACGTCACCACACTTCCACTTTTAGTGCACAAGAGGCGGTCGGTGGATCGACTGACGATGCCTCGAATTACATTGGCGGTGGTGGCCGGCAATGCTGCTTTGACATATTAAAATTAATGTTTCGGAATCCTCTGGTGGCAAACCGGCTCCACTTGGGCGAACCTGGCCTAAAAAATAGAAAAACAGAATTCTGGTAAGTTTAGCCAATGAATTGCTGAGATATGAAATGGTGCAATACCTCCAGTGGTAGTCACGATGCAGAGTCGTGAAGATCTCGTTCAGTTCACCATCTTAAATGACCGAAGGTCTCAGAGTTATTAGAAGGGGTCCTCCATCACGCTTTAGGTGCAAGCTTAGCAGGAGCCACAAGAGCGAGCTCTCGGCTTTCGTAGTCCCTGCCAAGCATGTGCATTTGCGCAGTGAAAGTGTCGTTCAGGGCAACACGCTCGTGCTCGTAGCTTTGGCCTCGTTTGCGCATAAAGTGAAAGAGGCAATGTTGCATAAGTATTGGTATTTGCCAGATCCGGTATGCTGGTTCGCTTTGCTCGATTTCCTTGCGTTGTGATCGTCGTCCCTTTCGCCATGCCCCGTGTTGTCCAGTGCTTGAGTAGTGCAACCTGTGTGAAGCATCGCTACGTGTGGCACAGCGATGTTTGACGACCTGCAAAAAGCTCGGCATTGGTGCAGCCAAGTTGTCTTTGCGCTTCAACGCAGCCCACACCCACAGACTTTACTGCAAATGGTAGTTAGCAGACAGTGATGCTCCACTTACATTAACATTAGATTCCAGTTAAAAGAATAGCTGGTAAGTTCATCTGCAGTCGGGTACCTTTGTTCCCGTTTGATTAGTAGGCTCATTTATCCACACTTTTAAGCTATTTCCTTTTAAAAGGCCACGTAGAGACAATGAAAATGACTGCTGGTTCCACTACAAACACATTTCTGGATGGCGGTTTGCCCACGTGTCTATACTCTGTTTCACAATAACTTGGCGAAGTATGGAGGCTACGACCCCTGTGACCCAATAAGAGTGTCGGAGTGAGGCACGTGACACTACGTCACAGGGACGCGTGTATCACTGTGACGAGTGTGAGGCCCAGAGAAACTCTCTGTCTGCTGGTCAACAGTCGTCTGCTGTGAAACCAACAGACTTCAGACGAACGTCCACCACCGCAACACAGTCGCCCGCTAGATTATCGAGCTCTTTGGGAACTGTTCACAGGACAACCATATGCTCAATTTACGCGGGAATCTGTGGAAGATGCTAATGCCAGGACCCAGTGCGACGTTTTGAGCAAAAGCGGTCAATTACATGGCTGCGATCACCAACGGCCACGGCGCTACAAGGAAAAAATTGGCAGCAGATACGAATGTGGCGTCATTCTTTTGGTTGAAATCGCTCGAGTTCGATTGCTGTTAAAAGAAAAAGAACCTTAAAACTACTTTCTGTCGCGGACGGCTCTGTTGCTGTGACGAGGCCTCCATGGCCTCAACCATGGAGTGTTATCTCGTGCATTGCTCAGACACTCTTACTGGGTCACAGGGGCTGCAGCCGCCACAGTTTGTCAACTTAGCGTGAAATGGAGTATAGCTTGCACACAGTTTGATTCATGAGTGAGCAGGAGCTGAAGGCTCATTGTTAGGACATTCTGGACAGTGGCAAAGTATTTCAACCTTTCTTTTTTCTGGCACGCTCTCTCCACTGCAGTGTATTCCCTGAAGGAAAACTGCTTCCAAGAGATCCGCAAGCGCATCGCCCCGCCCGATGCCATCTGCAAGACGGAAATTCCGACCGCTCTTCAACAGGAATTCCTGCAGTTCCTTCAGCAGCGGTGAAACTAGACCTGTCCGTGCATGCTGACGGAGGGCTCAGACCTGGACCAGAGAACTGGAACTCCCACCAAGTGGACATGGGTGGTGCAGGTGGTGCAAGGAACATGCTCTCAGCGTTAATGTTCTACGAAAATAATCTTTATTGCGCCTAAACAAAGAACACAGGCGTACAAAGCAAGAGCTACAATATGTACAGGAATCTTATATTAAAGCTGCAAGTATACTCGTGAGTGACATGTCATTTGTAGAAATGTGATACTGGGACTGATTATGGCACTGTGGATTCTGCACAAAAATAGGGTCATGCTCCGGTGACTCTGGGCACGCGGCGCTATGCGGCACATTAACGCGTGCTTAGGGCCCCTAACAGGCAGAAACTCTTTTCTTGATTGGTAATTAAAATCTCTATAAAACAAAAATTGCAACACAAAAAGTTTTCAAAACAACCCGATGCTTGCGCTGCGAGCACCGATTTCATTTTGACCCCGCCGTTGAAAACCATTATTGTAGGACTCGTCATTCTTGAGAACAGCGTTTTGCGAGCTTTTCATTGGCTCCAACGGCCGACGCGAAACGGCCAGTGATCGAGGCATTTTCCGCGTTCGCTAGAGTGTTTCGACACTGGTCTGTCTCGCATCATTCTTGCAGCCAATCGAGAATGAGAACCCTCAAACTTGTTCTCAGCAAAAGGGGGGTCAAAGTTCGATGGGCTCTCTCAGCTTAAACGTTCAGTTATTTCCAAAAATAAATACAATTCTTTCCCGTCCGTGATTGAACATCCACACATTTGGAACGCACGAAACAAATCGAAACTGCCACACATTCTTGAGGTTCTAGTGGTACCTTTAAGCTCACTCGTGCGAAAAGGTCTTCTTGAAGAAGCCTAAAAATAATAATCGGACACTCTGGAACAGAGGCCCCCGGGGCCCAGGCGATGGCTCAGACGATTGCTCGAGGCCATGCTGCTGGAGTGCTAGGCACTTGCTTTCAATGTGCTGCCGTTTGCATTTGTTTAAATGGGTCGCAGCCTCGGTGCACTCTTACTAACAGGGAGCTTCTCTTGAGATCTTTTTTGGGATGCAGCTTAGCTAGCGCTATTTAAGGGGGGACACTACCCAGAAAAAACAATTTCTGCAAAAAAAGTTGATTTTGAAAAATGTCATATTTACATCCACCAACATCTAGAGAGTATTGCCAGAAAGTTTCATTAGTTTACACTGCATAGTTAATTTTTTATAAATTATTTTCGGTCCACTGATGCTAAAGAAAAGGTAGAGGTTGGAGCACTTTGAACGCATTTTTCTCCATTCTACTTTTCGGCATAAATTTCACTTTAGGAAAACTATCGTTTTGTTATTACGCAACTTGGATTCATTTTTGTGAGTGTTTCTGGGGTGAAATTTTAAGGGGAAGATAACTATGAGCTTGTATTTTTTTATTTTTGTCATTTTTCATGCTTAGGAACTAAAAGTTTGGACAAAGGATGGAAATCTAAAAAACTGTATTTGTGTTCATGTGGCTTTTTTGTCATGAAAGATGGTATAACATAGAAATATAGCTCCATAGTTATCTGCTCTGAACTGTCCTAATGCAATGTAACACATGAAAACAACAAATTTATAAGTAATTTCAAAACGATAGTTTTCCTAAGCAGACACGCCCACTTTCGTCTTTGAACGTTTGCAATTTTTTTGTACTTCACCCAGGTTAACAAAAATTGGCAGAAATGTTATTGACATCAACAGAAACAAGCCCTGTAAATATAATTTAAATCAGACAAGTGGTTCAAAAATTTAATTTTTTGGGTAGTGTTCCCCCTTAAAAGAAACCGGCACTCTGGTCACGAGCGATTTCGTGCAACATGCATTTACTTCGGTGGTGATTCAGCATCCTTACGTGTGTACCAATTGAATAAAAAAAAGTTTATAAATATATAAGCATTACTGACCACTATTGCTTGTAGAGAGATATTGGTGCAATATGCAACACACCTCGAAGGCTGAACTGCATGTAAGCAATTTGGCGAGCAAACAGACGAGCGACGGCACAAGCAACGAGAGTCGGCGACGAGCGACAAAGATTTTTCACCGTCGCTCGTCATGTCGCTTCGTTTTTAGATTTGTAGAAAACGTCGCTCATCACCTTGGTCACTTGCTCCCACTGCTTTTATGCGGTCTGCTTCGTCGCGTGACTGACTGAGCGATAGCAAAGTGGGTCGCCGTCGCTTGTCTCGTCGCTCTTCAGATCGCTTACATGCGGTTTATACCTAATGCTTCGTGTCGACATTGGCACAAAAAATTGGCAAGGTATCACTCACAACTACGCTGGCCATCTGCACCGTACATGCTCGTGTATCGGCAGACCTTTCTTATAGGTGGCTCGTGCCTTCCTGCGCAGCCCGCAGATGAGCCAATTGCCATGATGTACGAAAGTAAGACCAATAAGTAACAAACTCTGAAAATGTTTTGCCCAAAATGGAATTATTTAAAGAGTCTGGGACGGACGCTTGACTCGGGTGGCTTTCCTGACGTAAATGGTATCTTGGGATCCGAGCCATTTCTGGGTCTAGGCTTTTCCGTACAGCGACGATTGGATCCGTTCCTCGCAGAAAGCCGGTAGATGCATGGGATTCTTTTCAAAATCGGGGAAAACAAATGCCATAGTTTAACCAATCAAAGCTGTAGCGCCTAGGGTCAACCTCGGACAGCGGAGCGGAAGTGGTAACCCATGGCATCGAATGCTCCTCGTTGGGTGGGAGCATTCGTGCAACCGGAGCGGGTCTTAAGCCGGGATCACGCCGCCAATACGTCGTACCAAAGACAGTCTACGGATACTGTCTAAAATGTGTTTCTTCGTGCACGACTCCTGTCACATTGATCGTACGAGATCGGCCTGCAGATGACGCGTGTAGAAGCAGACGGGCTTCGACCATGCTCGAGGCGTATACACACATCCTGCCTGCTGCGAACACCGCGACTTTTGTACGACATGTGAAAACTGCGTGACTGCGGCTCTTGAGTCCTACAAGAAGCACGCAACACGTGCCAAGCTGTCCCCCCTCCCGTCTTTAAAGAGCCGAGTCTCTCGTCGTCTAGGGACAAGGTGTAAAAGCATCTGGAAAAATACTCGCTGCAAATGTGTACATTGGCGACGGTCGATAAAAGTTTTACAAAATGCGGCAAAAATAAAGTGAGTATATATGTTGACCGTGATTGCGAAGGAAAAAATAAATGTACGTACAAAGAAAAGGGTCGCTACGGCGGGTAACTCCGAGAGACCAACATAAAGGGCGGGTGGGAAATGCAACAATGACACACGGGCTTGGAATGACGACCTAGGGGACACTTGTGTAAAAATTCCGGCGACCCCTTTTGAGACGGGGTTGCTCGCTACAGACTAGTTTAAGAAAATCACGGGGCTTTTCGTTAGGTCTCGCCGGGCAGACGCTTCGACCAATCCAGTCGCCCAACTAAAAAAAACCAAAAAAAAACCCAGCTTGTTGGTCTTTTGATGTTCGGCTGGCGACACTGGATTGTCTATAGGTTGCTCTTCTGTCTCCGCTTCGTTGGCAAGTAGAGTCGACGGACTGTCTGTTGGCCCGTGTCCTCGGAGACGCGTGGGAAGAGGCCACATTGACCGCTCCGGAGCACTTCACGGTGCGCAGTTCCCGGGGCCTAGGACTCTGTTTCCTCAGCGTCTGGCTCCAGAAGAACCTTTGTTTCGATGGAAGCCTTCTTGTTTCTGCAAGTACACAAACCACAATCTCGTTGGAGTTGGATAAAAGAAGGCGCCTCTGCAGGTTCAGTCATTTTGTGCCCACAGTACGCTCGGACATTAAGAGGGTATTCGCGCGAGGGAGAAATTTGTCACTTCGCCCCGCAGGCTGTGCTTTGCGTGATACTGTCGTCGTGCCTTTATGAGGCGGTACGGTGACGTCGAGCTTGTGAAAAAAATGCTTGAACGTTACAAACACTCCTCGACTCTGACGCTGCTTCGGCGTTGGAGGCGAGACACGCCTTGCCGGCGTCGCGCATCTCTGTCCGGGGTTTTTTCCCTCATGTGACTACCGCGTGAAGAACATTTCTTTCACCAGGCTCGCTTGAGAAGTGTGCAGGTAACGACATGTCTACTTTTACCATTTTAATGGAAGCCAGAAAGTGCTGGAACCAAAAGAAACACGTTTTATGAAGGAAGGTGAGCGCTTGCTTTCGGATTATTGCTTCTAGAATGGTGCAAACCTTAGATTTTTACTATAGTAGTGTCGAATAATACACTGTTGGATATTCACTTCAAAGGGAGCTGCAATATTCTTATTTTTTCAAGTGTTTATTGCGGCAGGTTAGCCCCAATGAGTGCGCTTCTTACCAAGCACTGGCGCATTGCAGAAAAGCAACACCCACGGAAACAAGCTCCTTGGGTGTTGTATCTCCGCAGTGCACCGGTACGGGGTAAAAGGCATGCTCAACGGGACTAACCTGCCGTGGTCAACACCAAAAACAGTGTGAATATTGCAGTCGCATTCATAAAGGGAAACTTTATGAATGTTGATATCTATATTGCAATAAAATTTTTAAAATTACTGTATGAGTATGTTAGGCGGAAATGCCGACAGGCAGCATTCTCCAATAGTGATTTTTTTCTTTTATGCAATCCATTTTTTTACTCAAAATTTATTGTTTGCACATGCCTAATTGCTGGTCATAGCGTTACTGTAGTTCCTCCATCCAAGTCTTACTGTTGTTTAAATTCTTTCATGTTTGCAAGGTTTTGTGCAACTTGTGAAACGAGTGAACTTGGTGTGGTAACCGTTCTTGGTTGCCGCTTGAAGCAAGGGTCCTCCGGCCCAGCCCTTGTCTTTGCAACGAGGTTAGAATTCTACAAGTGGTGATCATATTGCGCTCAAACATAAGAAAAAAGAAAGAATCCAAACCACAAAGCGATTTAGATGCACCAATGTTTATCACATGCCCTTTGCAAGCTCTAAGGCACATTGAGCTGAATGGTGAGCTTTTATAAGCTTGGTCTTGCACTGCAATCGTTAAAATGACAGAAAAATCAATCTGTTTTCATTAGGCACTGTTGTAAGAGGATATCAGTGCCCTTTATGTCATATTCATGCGAATCCACATAGCACCCATTCCTTACGAGACGCGATTTAGAAGAACAGTGCTGGGAAGAAAGAAAATATGGTACATGGGACACGAAGGCAAACAAGGTCTAAGACTCGTTTCCAATTGGACAATAATTTTCAAAATCCAATTTTGTAAACCCTAGGTTAAGAAACCAGAAACCTCTGGTTATCTGAGGTATTTGTGTAACTAACTTTCATATGGCATTGCGTGTGTGCACAAAAATTGCTTCAACATCCCTTGTAATTTACATCAGCACCTAAAGGTTGGTTCAAACATTGTAGCGTTGTGCAAATATTCGAATACATAGTAGTTTCGAATAATACACTATTCGATAGTTGCTTAGAGATAAACTGCGATATTCATACTTTCCGGAGTGTCGATTGCGGCTAGATAGCCTCGTTGAGTGCGCTTCTCTTCTCGATAAGGGCTCGCTGCACGATGCACGAAAAAATTATGATTTGCCATATGATGGCTACACAACAAAGCAGATATTTGATGACTTCCTCTACATAGGCCTACCTATCATAAGCAGGTGTCACACAAAACATTTGTGAAATGTATGACTAAGTTTTTTATTACTCAAAAATGTTGTTGGACAGCACATGACAAAAGAAAATTAAGTTTGTTCATCATCAGGCCAAGATGTTGCCTAATGTGGACTGTGTATTAAGCAGGGGACACACGAACGATGAGAATGGTAACAGCGTGGCAGACTTCGTACAGTAGACTCTCGGTAATTCGAAGCTCACGGGGACAGCAAAATGCTTCGAATTAAGCGAACTTCGAATTAGAAAAGCACATATAAAACTGAGTTTATTTTATTCAGTACTCACTTAGGAGAAGAACTGGTCGATCTTAGATTGTTTTCGCTGACGCGTCCGCGCCACCGTCACTCGGCTCCGCAAGTTACGTACGCATCGCAAGGCGTCTTCGGCATTCTCTTTGCCCGAGAAAAAACGTTCTACGACGCCCAATGCAGTTTCCGCATCAGCGGCACTCGGCGCGGCAATCGACGGCGGCGAGAGCTCCTCGTCGTCAGAGTCATCGTCACTTCCTTGCACCACCGCACCAGGCCTAACCACTTTGATTATTTCGACGTCCGAAAGCGGACCAGAGACCTCGACGTGCTTGTCAACATCGACATCTGCTTTGACGACGCACTCTCTTCGACTTCTTGCAGCACCTTAACTTTGGTAGCGAGGTCCACTGCACGGTACTTACTCCGTTGAGCCATCGTGATAGTACCAAAGCAGCGCGACAGAGCGATTGTTGGGCTGTGCGAGAGCACGTACGAACAAACCAACACACCTTCGGATCTTCGTTGCCAAAACTCCCGCTCGCGTCGTTCCGCGGTTCCGCCGAACGCAACGTGGTTTTGACGCAACCCAACCTTCTCGCCACCTATCTCCTTCTCACCTCTCGAGGGGAGAGCACAGAGTGGGAGAGCAGAGCCCAAAGCAAATAAGCAAACAGTCGCGCAAGTAAGGCTGTTTGTTCGCTTCCTCGCTGCCGTGGCGCCGTTGTACATTGCATCAGATTGCATCATCCCTAGTGCGGCGACGCCAGTGACGCGGCCGCGGGTCGTGGCGTTGCATATTCGCGCTTGGCGCTTGGCATTTGTTTTTTTCGCTCCTGGGATTTCCGGACTTTAGGCACAGACAAAAAATTCTTCGAATTAACCGGCTCCGAACATTTAGCCATCGAATTACCGCATGTTTTTCCCCACAGCATTGTACATACGATTGCCGGGACCAGGCCCATGCTTTGAACTAACCGAAAATTTGAATTATGCGACTTTGAATTACCGAGAGTCAACTGTAGTAACTTGCGCGGACGCTGTGACGTGGACCTATGCCATGCCACCATGTGACAGCGTCTGTGCAAGTTGCTATAGAAATTTTCGCGTGGTGCCCGTTTTCATAGCTTGTGTGCCCACTTGAGCCACATTGAGGGCGCATCTCACCAAGCACCGGTTCACTGTGAAGAAAAAACGCCTGCAGAAGCAAGCTCCGCAAGTGTTACTTCATTGCAGCGCATAAGCGCTCGGAAAGGAGCGCACTCAACGGCGCCGCGAAAACAAAAGGTATGAATTGCACGAAACTGCTGTTAGAATTAAGTGCCGTAGAAGTGCATTAGAAACATAGCGCGACAACCAATATTTGAAATCTGTTTGAATTAACCAGCAGTATGAAATACCTGGGTTTGAATTAGCGTGAACCCACTCTAATTGAGCTGAAAAGTGGACATGCGGAAGGTTGAGAACAACTTTCACAAGTCGTTCTCTTGTTTGTTCTGTTTGTTTCACGAGTTGTTCTCTGTTGTTTAGGCGCGGTGCACGGTAGCGAAAGGCTTGGAGAAACTATTCAATATTCGATTAGAAAATATTTGGCCAAAACTACTACTGTAAAACCCTTAACGTCTGCGAGGCCTTAATTTTCGCAAAATTAAGGGTTCGCGAGTTTGCGAAATTTAAGGGCATGCAAAAATTATGTGGGTGCATGGAATTCGCAAAAATTAGTGGCCGCGTTTATGCCCTCTGTGACCAACTCGCAACAAATAGGGGCTACGAAAATAAAGGGTCCCTTTACAGTATTCGCTTTGAATTCCCTTCAAAATTTACTATTCGCACATGACTACCGACATTTACATTTGAGCGCGAGCGAGTGCGCTGCAACCACTTGTCACCGCTTATGACAAAACTCACTGGCGCCACCTATGGGGTAGCCATAGAATGCCCCCGATTCGCATACATTTCCTTTGTTACGTACCATTCTCTCTCCACAGGCTTGAAAGTATTCTTACAGTCTTAAAAGGAACCTCATAGGTAGTGCACACTTAATCTGGCAAATAGTACTCTAAAGCTTTCAGCCTAGTCGTACAGAGATTGGATGTGTTCCAGGGCTACCTAATAGGTGGTGCCAATGTGTCTTTTTGCCACGAACAGCAAGAGGAAGGTCCTAGACCAGTCTGGTCTATCCGAGTTGCATAGACTGAATTATGATGATGCTCGACAGGATGCTCCAATGTCCGTAAACTCATAGATGGAATATCTAAAAACGTAAGACGGGCCCTGTGTGCGCAATAGCATGGACCCTCAACTTCACTTTATGAGGCAACCATGTGGCGGCGTGCTATGTAGTACTACCTAGTGCGGGGAAGGGTGAAAGAATTAGTAAGCAAGCAGTTTTAATTCAGTCAGAGTCTTTTGCCCAAGCACCAAGTGTGGCAAAACGTGGACAGGCAACGAAAAGGGGTCAAGCACGAACACGGTTAAGTGCGCTCGGATGCTGAAGCGAGGCACGGCATGCACATCACTTTGAGCGAACAAAGCCGGCCAATGCAAGCAGCCAAATAGAGAGCTGGGCACACCACAAAAACAAGCACAAACAGCAGTGGGATTATAGTTTGTTTTAACTCGTGAGCGAGCAAGCTACAAGCACGAGCATGTCGCCCCGAATGATGCCTACACTGCGTGAGCACTCGTACGTGGCAGGGACGCCGAAGGCCCTCGCTCTTGTAGCTCCTGGTAAGCTCACACTTGAGGTGAAACGGAGTGCAGAGTCTGGAAGACGTGTCGAGCGATTGAGCGAGCAAAGTCGGGTAATGCAAGCAGCCAACGAGGCAGTCAAGCACACCACAAGGAAAGGCACGAGGGGCATGCAGGACTACAGTTTGAAAGATGTGTGAACCAGGAGGGGACGTGCAAAGAGATCTGAGCAGACACAGGCAAGCGTGCAAGCTGCAGAGCGGGTGAGGCAGCGGGGGAGCGACGGGCATTGGTGGCAGACGGGCAGAAGCGACGGGCGACACCGCACGGATGGATGGACGGCCTGCCTCACTTGTTGGGCCTCTTGCGCAGCTCCCTGTGTCCCCGGTTGACCACCCCGCTCGGCTCGTCCATCATGCGCACGAGCAGCGCCTGGTTACCCGAGTCGATCGGCGCCACCGAGATGTCCCGCACCGCACGGAACTTGCCGCAGTTGTTCAGGTGCTCGTTCTCCAGCCGGAAAAAGTTCCACACAAAGCGCCTGCACAAGACACTTGCACTGAATGTGCTGGACAGAGACTACTAATATGTTTTTGTTAGGGAGAAAACATATAACGAGGTTCCACTAAGCTATAGACCGATGTGCATGTATAGGGCGATGAGACCAATGTCTGTTTACAGCACAATTTTTATTCAAGCTGGGTCGTGTTTTTGTGAGTGCAGGCCGTACCACCAATGTACAGCACTCACCAAACTTGTACGGAACATGCAGACTCTGTTTCCTCCTTGTGGGAGAGCTATCCAGGCAGAAGCCGAGCGACGGTTTTATGGCGTAGCACTCTATGAGCCATCCTGAGGTGCTATGTTGAGGAGCCATTGTTCAGCTTCCTGCAGGATAGCACTGCTACGAGAAAAGACACAGTTTGCTTGTTCCATACGAGTTTGGTGAGCACTGTACTCACAGTAGAATGCTGTTGGCGCAAACACTACATCGGTTTATGCAGCTGACTTTGAAGGGATATTAGTGGGCATCAATACTACTTAGGTAGGTGAACTAGATGTGCACTTTTCACCACACTAGTAGTATTTACGTCAGTGCTTTGATTCTACGAGACAAAATAAACAACAACAACAATCTCTTGTTTGCTCTAATAGTGTCGTGATGTGTAGATAGAGTTACCGTGCAACAAGAAAAAAGACAAGCCTTCCTTGGGTGACAATGCACAAAACATTTTTAGGGTCATTGATAAAATACTCAAACAACGGGCGAGCTGGAGACAATTCATCTTTCAAAAACCCCGTGACTCTAGGTTTTTCAAAGATTGTGTTTGGGGGATTTACGTGCCAAACCTTCAAAGCGCATCTCGCATGCTCCAGCGAAAGACTAAGGAGTAATTTCGACCACCCGGAAATCTTTGACGTGCAACCGAAATCTCGCTTACTTTTCCGCAATAAGCCTCTGTCAGATTGTGGGAACTTTGGGCGGTATTGGAACCCACCAACCCGAGGATGACAATGCACAAATGAAAGCACGCAAGAATTCACAAGTGAAGCATTCATGGTTTGTTGAAGACACCCTGGTAGATTCTTCCCCTCTCTACATTTCATTCTTTTCTGCTTTCTCTCTCTCCCCCTTGCAACCCTTTTGCCTCTCCTTTCCCAATGCGTTAATCCAAGACACGGCAGCTTAACCCCCCCCCCCCCCCCCCCCCCCCCTTTCTTCCTCGTAGACATTCCTTTCAGACACGCCGCTTGCACATTACCATTTCAAGAGGCAGATTGAACCGCCATTGCTAGGGAGGTCCAGCGAGAGGGACGCTCACCTGAAGACCTCCAGCGGAGCCAAGATGGTGACCATGAGGTCTGAGTGGATGACTCCCAGCTCAGTCAGGGACACCGACAGGGTCCAGCCAAAGCGCAGGGCCAGGTCGGTCAGGATGGCAAAGTAGTAGTAGCCCTGCACGGGAGACCCAGGTTCTTTTTTTGCAGGGAGTGCTGAGGCTAGGGACACTAATCAATAATTGGGGTTGTGGGGATATTTAGACAACCTGTAGTTGGTCAGCCAATTCAAAGTTGCGACGAGTCACTCGCTGTAGATGAGAAATTTAGCCAGTGCGGTACAACCGCTAGCCTGGGGTCTTTAACGTGCACCACGCAGTAATGGTACACGACCGCACGCCGGTACGATGCTCATCCAGATCGAAAAGGGCAGGGTTGGGAATTGGACCCTGGATCCCTGGGTTCTGCAGCGCAAGCTTTCGCTCCACGTGCTCTGAGCTAGGAACACTAAATGAGCCTAGGTATACTCCGTGTCACTAGTTGTGTGCACTGCAGGCGAAGGCAACGCCAGGCAAAGAGAGAAAGGACAAGCAGAAGAAAGGCGGGAAGAGAGAGGAGGGCAATAGAGGGCGAGGGGAGAAAGGAGAAGCATTAGGAACATTAGAGAGGAGAAGAGATTTTTCTCCTCCTCCACAACCTTCCTAGTTCTTGACCTTTCTCCCCTCCCCTGGCATTGCCTTCGCCTATACTCCAAGCAACTAGTGACACGGTGTATAGAGTGTTGACCATCAGTTCCCCGATCGTCTGGTGGGCGCTGCCATGTTGTTGCCTAGGGAAGAGCATGCAGCTTCCCGAACTTAGATACTATGCCGGGAAGCTGAGGCGATGTCGCCTCGCTCTGTTGTGGACTGTGTCAACATTTCTGGAGGACGGTAAAGCGTTTCCCGCGATTTCGGATAGAGCTTAGGACGACTGGCAACAATTATTTTGAGCGGCAAAGAAGGCCAAAGTGTCGTTGCTCTTGAGCATAGCACACGTAGTGGCTCAAACTTGTCCCGAGGTGCCCGGGGTGGGAGAGTGGGGTGGACTCACGGGGGAAGAGTAGACGATCTCCTCGCGAAGGAAGCGGTTGTCCCCCTGGTTGGGGTCAAAGAGACCCCAGTCCATCTTGATGTCCCAGGTGTAGGTGAAGCAGGAGCTCACCACCGCAGACAGGATCCAAAGGATAAAGAAGGGGTGGCTGGTCGAGGACGGGTAGCTGTCTGCGCACAACCCACAATCAGACGCTGCCCCGCGAAGGCCCACGAGCAGTCCTCACAAAGCCCACCGACATAGTGTCATCCATTCGTGGGGACGGTTTCTGCATCTCGGACCTTTGATACAACTAGGCCTCTCAAACTGGGTTCCCCGTGTTACGAACTGAAGGGCTCGCTCGAAAGTCAGCCGAACAAATAGGCGCCTGCACGTGAGAAGTGCAAACTTTCGCCAAAGATGTATTTGAGTGGTGCATTTTACATCAAGAAAATTTCGAGGCCTGAGGACAATTCAAGTACCACTCTTGACATCTTCAATGGTGGACATTAATGCAGACTGTTGAGTTAACCGAGGGTTGTGCTTGTGCCATACCTCGACAGGCACAGCGGGCAGACAACACCGTCGTCTGCTTGTAACCGAGTGCCATTGTCTGCATGCTGCGTTTACTGAGAGATGGCACTATAAGCACAACCCTTGGTTAGAAAGCCTTTAATTAGGGTACGCTCAACTGCTCAATCACTCATCAATGGTCAATAATTATCACAATTTGTGGACGCCATGTTGAGTTCATGTCTTGCTGGAGGTCTGTGGAGCTACACAGGTTTTGTTTTACCTTACTATGACCTTACACAAGCCTGGAAATAACTAAATATTTTATGAAATGCATAAAAAAGCACCTTTCATTTGCCACCACTTTTATTTTGATACACTAAGTAACTTCTAAATGCAAAAATCTGTTAAAATCGCCATTTTGAATTGCGCCGTATATCTGGCAACAGTAGTTGCTGCTCTGGTTTGGCCTCGAGCAGTGACCACAGTGTTTTAGGCCAAATCAGATGCACAAACCCGTTGGTCACAGTCATAGTGGCCGCATTTGCCAGGTTCACAGGCAGCGAGTTAGTGAGCGGTGCTGTTGATCAGTCTGTTTCCGTGAGAAGTGGGTTAAGGTTGTTACAGTTGTTACTACCGTAGCTCTGCCAAAGTGCTCGCCGTTCACTGCTACTCACTCCTCGCCGGGGTTATCGACATGTATCTACTGGAAAAGGTGCTGATGTTCCATTTTCCATATTTCGGTATTTAGAAGTTACAGCTTATACTGCATGCCTTTCTCTGGCACCTGCGCTTACGAGCGGCATCAAATACTACGAAGAGCAACAGATCGCACTGAGCAGAGGAACATTGAGGCATCAGTCTATTAGCAACGCGCTTGTTGCGTCGCCTCTTTCAATGTATGAATTTGAACGATTGAAGTAATGGGCTGTGATTTCGCTTGCATCATGTCTCATTTCTATATTGATAGGCATTACCAAAAACACTCTTTTGCGTCTGCAGAGTGCCGAGCATGCTATTGTTTGTTGCAATGCAGAACCGCATTGCACTTGCCTTTCACTCATTTCGATATAAACATTCCATTAAATCGAACACTGCCATCCCGCCGACGCCTGGCCGGAAAATGGCAAACATTGCGAGTATTGCGCCTCGCACAAAAAGGGTATTTAGCTTACGGACAAAAGCATGGTGATACCTTGCATCACGAAGTTTACAATGTGACTGATTCTACTCCGATTTTTTTCGTAACAACTGTGCGACCACTGAGAAACTGCTAGCAACCCATGCACTCGTTCCGAACTCCGGATTGTTCGGGACGGAGAGCATACACGCCCCCAACCACTTCTTTAAACAGGACCACCCGCAGTAAAGGCCCACAGCAGCCCAAGAGCGCAGGGCAGTGCAGGCAGGGCACTGCTCGGACGGCTCAATCCAGCCAGCAAGCCAGCCATAGACTTGTGACAAGAAGGCCTGTCTAACTTTTCACGAAAAAATGCCACACCTTGAAATTTAATGAGGCAAAAAGCACCACTAAAATACACTTTTAGTGACAGTTTGAGTTTGTTACATGCAGATGCTGCTTTTTGTGGCTGATCTTAGAGCGAGCCCCTCGATTCATAACACCCTATAGAGTATAAAAAGCCTGCTTCGAGGATTTATGCCTCCTCCTTGTGGCAGGTGCAGAACACTCCTATCGAACTCTACCCGAAGGTTTTCTGTCCAAGAGAAGTGTGGTCTTGAACCGCCTTCGCGGCTGAAAGTTGCCATTCGACTCTAGTCCACATCCCTTGTCAACCGTGTGCGAAGAAAAAGATTAGCGTCCACTCTGAAGATAAGCCCTTGCATCTCGGCTGGTTCCGCTCCTCTCATAGCACGCGGCGATAGATCTTGAATATCGCGTTTTCTATTAGGCAGTAGGTACACACTGATAATTAACGGTGTTTCGGACTTTGTGCATCACATAAATCAGGTAAAAAAAAAAAACAAACAATGAAAAAAGTAAAAAAAAAAAAATTTTTAATGCACCCTTAGACACACAAAAGGTAAAAACTTTTTAAACTGCCTGCATACGCCACATGTCACACAATGCATTTTCCGAGAAAAAAAAATAAAGAATGTAATATTCACACTGCGGATGCTGCACACCAGGCCGCCCTCCTTTCCACATTTTTTCAGCGTGCTGAAAAAATGTGCAAGGTTTCGGGGTATGCCACCTCACAGAAGTGCTTCTGTTTTGATGTCACTATGATGTTGGCCTCCATGTAGAAGCTTGTGTTTGAGCCGGCATGCATGAGCAGACGAAATCGTTCCAAACTTAAAACGTGCATCACGGTGTAAATATTGCATCAATCAATTTTCTTTTTCAGGGAAAAAGCATTTTGTGACGTGCCTATGTGCCCTACCCAGGAAGTTAAAAAAAAAAAAAAAAATCCTCTGGGTTCTAAAGTCTAAAATGGCGACCCTCATAAAAAAAAAAAAGAAACAATGAAAAAAGTAAAAAAAAAAATTTTTTAATGCACCCTTAGACACACAAAAGGTAAAAACTTTTTAAACTGCCTGCATACGCCACATGTCACACAATGCATTTTCCGAGAAAAAAAAATAAAGAATGTAATATTCACACTGCGGATGCTGCACACCAGGCCGCCCTCCTTTCCACATTTTTTCAGCGTGCTGAAAAAATGCGCAAGGTTTCAGGGTATGCCACCTCACAGAAGTGCTTCTGTTTTGATGTCACTATGATGTTGGCCTCCATGTAGAAGCTTGTGTTTGAGCCGGCATGCATGAGCAGACGAAATCGTTCCAAACTTAAAATGTGCATCACGGTGTAAATATTGCATCAATCAATTTTCTTTTTCAGGGAAAAAGCATTTTGTGACGTGCCTATGTGCCCTACCCAGGAAGTTAAAAAAAAAAAAAAAAAATCCTCTGGGTTCTAAAGTCTAAAATGGCGACCCTCATAACCTTATCTCAGCACCGTAATATTCCGAGTCATCGCCCACCCCACTCTTTGGGCGAATATCGGTTTTCAAGAAAACACAGTGATCGCCCACCACCACAAATATCCCAACACAAACTCCGCGATCCACGAAAATTTGTTCTACCCAAATGACACGGCCCGCAGACCTTACGATTGGAGGACGTCCGTGACAAAGTAAAACAAAGGAGGGGAATACACTTCACTTTGTTTACGGATTTCCTCCCCGCTTCCTGTGACCCCAAAGTTGGGGTACATTTGTGCGAAAGGAAAGCGATAGAGATAACAGAATGAAACTGTGTTTTACTAAAATTAGTGGAGATAAAAGAAATCGGAAAAATGACACAAGCAGTAACCCATTCAGGAATTGTGAGGTCAGCGAATGCCCCATACCCTGAAATGTAACAGTGGAGTGTAAGGTCAAAGATGTAGGACAAAGTCCGTCTCCACAGAATTAAGGTCACCGAAAACCCCCTCCCTCTCCCAGAACGTCGTGACCACGGTTGGTAAGGTTGTGCGATGTTCCAGACAAAGTCAATGGGTACATAAAGATTTGCTACGACGCCGCACACAAGCGTCTGTAAAGCGTTCTATTTCGAGCTCCGGTTTCGTGGTGCCATCCACGCTATGCAGCAAAGCCACCTCAACCTGCGTTGATAGCACGCCAAGCATGGACACCCGCCTGTATGCACCAAACTAGGAAGTTCCACAAAAGCTTGCTCCTTGTGGTTGACAAGGCGCCCGACTTGGCTCGCTGCCAAAGTATTTGCCAATGCTATCGCCGACTTTCCCGCTTCCCCAGCATCCTCTTTGTCGCTTCTTTCGCCCGCTCGCTCGCTCGTCGCACCTGGATGGTTTTTCTATTTTCTTGCTGACTCGTTTTATTTTCTTTTACTCGATTTATTTTTTTGTTTATTTACAGATCAGCAAACCGTTATGTTCCCAAAAGAAGGGAACATAGCGGCTTTAGAAATGTGCTTTCACAGACCAAGCGTTCATGCTGTATGCCGATGAGCGGCGTTCATCGCGCGTATGGAAGCATCAGACTTCGCTATAGTAAAACCTTTTTTCATTAACATTTCTTGTATAAAACAATGAAACTAATTCGAGTTTTTAGTTTATTACATCTGTGCACGTGCGCTAGATACTCAGAATGTTACGGCAGTTAAGTGCAGCACTGTGGAAGCCATGTGTGGGAGTGAAAAACGAAAACAATTTTGCATGAATTTCGAGTGACAGGCTGATCCCCGACAGGCACAAAAGCGACATTTGGGATCCACAGAAGAGTTGGGATAAGAGAGAATTTCTTCCCTCCCCTCCAACTGGTCGCATTACACACTTTTGCCCGTTTGATAACACAACGCACAGTTGAGAGATGAAGCATAACGTCGCCTTCCCCAACGAGACAACCATTGCTGACGCACCTCGGTAGACGTTGAAGAGGGTGGAGAAGAGGACGACGAAGAAGGTGCTGGCATACTTCCCGGCGTTGGCCAGGTGCGGGAAGGCCTCTCGGGTGTCCCGGTAGCGCCGCAGGCACTGGGCGAACCGGAACCAGGCAGGGAGGCAGGCCAGCACGGGGCGCAGGGCCAGGTTCACCGGCCGGTTCATGCAGCGCGTCGCATCTGCAAGTAACAACGCACAGAAACGGCTCACAGTCGCCGGGCAAAGACTTTCAAAAGAGCCGTGCTACCATGACTTCAAATCAAGTTGTGCAGCATCATTCCAGGTCTCAACATTAATGAGAGTCAGTTTGGGCTTTCCTTTGCAATGTGAAGGCTATCAATGATGCAGCACTATTGAAATCGAAGTGAGATCTGCACACCTCTACAGTCAACCTATGCATATGTTTGCTACTATTGGGGAGGAGATGCAACTGCTGCGCCCCGAGTGGCTAACTTTAGAACTATACTTCTGGGGTGCTCGGTGCTCGGTGCCGTAGCCGAACGCTGCGTGGCCGTTCGGCCGGGGCTCGTGGATCTTCCGTCACCCGAGGAGGGGCTCTTTCGTAGCCGCTCCGGCGCACGTCAACAGTGCAGCATGCACCGCGCACGTGACCAGTACCCGTTCGGCACAAAGGCCGAAGTGGGTCAGGCTTCTATCCTCCTCTGACTGCATTCACGCAAGATCCGGCTCGTTGCGTCCTGGCAACATCACATCGTCGACACTTTTTACATTATGTAAAGAATCGAATCCACAAGCATCGTGTCGTGTAAATACGAAGCTAAGGGGGAAAATAACCTGTAAAGAGCGCCCCCTATAGTCTGATCTCCTCGTCAATGGTCACCGACACCAGGGCCGTAACCAGGGGGGGGGTTAGGGGGTTCTGACCCCCCCCCCCCGAAATTTTTTTCTGGGTACGGCCCTGGTCGGTGCACTTGCAGCCAGCCGATTTTAATCTCCACCTCTGCGCACGCGCAGTGGCACCGGTCGGCTACCGGGTACCAAACCGGGACCAGTTCTTCGGTTTGCTATAACTCTCCATTATATGCCACCGATGCACATGATTCATAGGCGAAAATAAGACAAAATGGCCGCCGTTGCCCCGAAAACCCCCCCCGAAATTTTTTTCTGGGTAAGGCCCTGACCGACACGATAAGAACAACAGTGAGTCTCCTTCGAATGCCTCACACATGCACTCGTTGCCTTCTACTGTGCTCTGGCAGCACAGTAGAAGGCAATGCCGAAGCACTATCCGAGGTAGCAAGCTTGCGCAGGAGGCGGGACAACTGAAAGTCCTTCCTCCCGTGTTCTCGTCCTGGCAGTGACCATAGACAGTGAAAACGTGGATTGCTCCGGCAAAGTGTTGCATATTTTAGTCACTAAATAGGCAAAGGCTGCCAACTAGGGGCATGCTAATATCGCTTCAAATTGAACGGCGCAGCGTCGTCCCTAGCCCCGACACTGTAGAGAGAGCCTGCATGTCACGACTTTCTGCGATATCAGTGATAAGATAGTGGCCCAAAACCGCCCTGGGGGCAAGTGACAGTATAGCGAGATATAAGAGACCTGCCAGCGCACCGTCTGGTTGTTGTACCCAGCCCCGCAACCATGTGTGGTCCCGCTCCTTGTTTGGTCTAAATAAAGTGATGCAGCAACGAACCCGTATCGGATACAACACTCTCTCTCGTGAAGTGGGAAGGGTCCTCACCGCTGTTCTCCATCCACTGGAAGTCTGTGGCGTAGAAGCAGACGAAGTACTGGGCGTCAATGAAGACCGGCACGAGGCTGTTGAGCTGGTCGGCCAGCCAGAAGTCGGCGAAGCCCACGTAGAAGAAGGGTGCCGCAAAAATGCGCCCCAGCACCCGGAGTAGCCAGAAGCGGGCCTGGTGCCGCATCGTGTGCAGGGGGTTCAGCAGGAACACCAGCATCAACAGGAGCAGCGCCAGCGGGTTGGCGTACGTCGGAATCGCCAGCGGCCCCGAGTACAGGAAAGCCAGCACGCTTAGCGCCCACAGCACCCCAAAGATGGCCGCCATCTGCAGACGGAAACCATGGGCTTCTTCAACTGACCCTTCGTGCCGAGTTCTAAATGTGATGGCACATAAGCGGCCACCAAACGGCGAGATTGTGTGCATCTATCCGGAAGGGGCTCAATGGTATGCCCGCTTATTGGTTGAAACCCCAGGGAAGTGGGAGAGCACATGTGTCTCAACAGGTCAAGTGACGTCCCCTCCTCTGGATTATGCCACACTGTCAGCTCTCTATGTGCGCAGCTGGTTCACACTGACGTCAACTGGCCCGTTGAAACAGATTTGACCGATCACAGCACTCCCTCACTCGCCACATTTTCTCAGCAGGTAAAGGATTCCAAATGCTACCACATTACACCAGTTTTGGCAGCAGCAAGAAAGGAGGCATACTAGTTATTAAGAGGCAAGTAAAAAAAGGAAAATGTCCACATAATCGGGGTCGGAACTCCGGTGGTTTGACGGTGCAAATCATAAGGAACTGTTGGGTGTATCGCACACTTGAGCAGACTGCAGTCTGGTGACTGATGAATTTGCTAATTCAATCTGCTCTAACAAATACTTTCAGTCTTTCCTTGCTATAGCCTGCATAGGTGACTGCTCATTTGCAAATGGAGGGTCATATGAAAGTATGCCATAGATAGTGTTTTATCATGATTAAAGTTCTGTTTGTTGATTCTTATAAAATTAGAAACAGTTATTCTGTCCTGATAAAATCTCAATCTATGTGCTAAAACCCTTGTTGAAATTTAGTGCCATCTGGCAGCTGAAAAGGCGGTTTAACTTCTGCTGTACTAATGGCGGCAATGAACCTGTAGCCTGCAGTATTTTATCGTGCACCATCACTTTCCCAAGTCAACGGAAAACGAGAATGCGCTCTTCACTATACAATTCTCTCTCAATCATCTCTTTCAGTGTCGATGGTCACAGAGATGCAATCAGTCAGAACGAAGCGCCAACCTAGATAGACGCCTTGATAAAGTTCTACAGTATAGACCACTTACAACGTAACCGCTTATAGTGCAAGACCGGGTATACCGCGGTTTTTTTAAACCACCGGTTCGCCTCCCATAGAACTCCATGTAATTACATACCGTTTGAAATGCAGGCGCGCGAAGGGAAATACCGGTTATAGTGCGGTTTCTGGCACAGCCCGCCGACCGCGCCGACAACCGGAGCAGCGAGCACGCTTCCCTGTGCGACACTAGATAACGGCGCTGACGGCGCGAGCCGCAAGCGGCACTTGCGGGGCAAGGAGGTTGCTCGAAAAAGCGGGGAGAAGCGAAGAGAGAGGCTTCAGTTGCCATAGCGACGGAGGGACGCACGCACGTGTCGTTCACGTGCGTGCGTCCCTCCACTGCGTTGGAAACAAACTGCAACGACAGACCAATCGCAGGTCGAGGAGAAGTGTTAGCACGCGTTGCATGCCGGTCGCGGGCCGGCTGCTTTTATCCGCAAACATGGCGTCGGTTGTGATCGTCCTCGTAGACAGCGTTCATCTCATCGTTCCGCGTAAAAGCGCTATCCTTGACTGTGAATTTTCGTAGTGTGTCGCTATGTAACCCAGCACGTACTAGAAGGAAAGATCCACCTACTCGTGCGGCGATGTCGTGGCGGCGCTCTCAAGATGGCAGAAACGCCCGTGTCGTCGTATTTGTTAACTTCGACTACAGTGGTGATTTCTAAGCATTTGTGTCCTCGAACATCGCCCGGATTTCTTATTTGGTGCATTTCATGCGTGTGCTCAAGTTCAAGGTATTACTGGAGCGTACCGTATGAAGGATGCAAATTTTCACGCGTTTTCATCTCCGGAGAAAAGTGATTAGGGTTAGCAATCCTGAACGCTCGCAACGTCCGTCCGCAACCCGCGACGCTGTTAAAAGGCTGCGCCAGGCAAAAGCCGCTCATTTCTTTCAAAATGTGTGACACACTTGAGACAGAACTGTACTAGTCTGGTGAAATAAAGACTTTCCTCAAACTAAGCTTTATTTTTCACCTAACATAAAATAAATTCTTTTACAAAGGTAAGTTGTCTCATGGCATGTATTTTGGCCTGAAAAATTGATGTTTGGTTATAGCGCAGTACCGCTTATAGTGCGGATTTTCGCGACTCCCGCGACATACGTTATAAGCGGTCTACACTGTATACGTCAAGGGGCTTTGAAGTCGATTCTGTGCTACTAAAAGATTGACTGGGACCGAGTTATAGAAATGAACGCTTAAGCAGCACTTGCATTCATTCAGTATCTTCAACATGTTCCTTCATCAGTAAACAGAAGGCCACCATTAGTATGGCACATATGACATTTTTCAGATGATGATGACGATAGTGATCAAAGTGGCCAGACTGAATTTCGGAAAGGGTCTATTATGTGTTAGTTTTTCACTGTTACTACACACCCTCTAGAAAGTGGATACTATTTGCAAGCACACTAGAATTACGTGACCTATATCTCTGACTTCCATCTTGTGCAATATGATAGAGCACGATGCCTACAATATACAGGTCATTTAAAATTAATTCAAATAGATTTATAAAAAAAAATTGGCTGCATGTTTGCTAATTCTGTTAAATGCATTTAAATGTGGTAGCTTTATAGGGTGGGTGGTGCTCTTAGTTTGAGTAGTGCACTAGGGCAGGGTTTTGTACCGAAACATTACATCACACCATTGTATCTGTGATGCAGCGTGTGCTTCCCTTCAGCACCATTGGATACAAAGCCTACGCGGTGACTTTTCTGGGTCACCGAGCTAGGGGAAGCGCGCTTTTTTGCAGTTTCCACTCCGCTTCATTCCGCACAGTCTTTCTACACCACCTGTTTCTGCTCCTCTCTTTCTTGCCATTTCTACTCCTCCCCGATCTGCGCGCTTTCTCACACCACCTGCTTCTGCTCCTCCCGTTCCTGATTGCTGAGTTCGTAGCTCAGTCAGCAGCACAGTCAGTTTCCATGCCGGTGACCAGGGTTCGATCCCTGGCACCGGTTGCCTTTTTCTCAAGATCGTTAACGATACTGGACTGATCGACCTACACATTTTTTGCTTACACAGCTCCTGAGGTTGGTTGGCCCTACAAAGCTACCGATTTAAAAGACATGAATGGTACACTAATGCTCCAACCACGCCTAAAGTCAGCGCATGTACCAGGGCACTAATGCTAACCCGTAACTAATGCTAGAGTCACTACAAAGCTATGCTCAAACTATTGGAACTCTTTTCCCTCATTGTCCGAAGTCACCACAATGGTCGTTGAACCATTGGTGTCATATGATATTCGTTTACATAGCAGCAGCTTGTGGGCACCGGCATTCTGGCGCTTAGGAACCACACAGGCTTTATTTGCAACAGTTATGGTTCTGAAATGCGACTCTTTCAGTGGTTGATGCAGTGTCAAGAAATCATTGCGGTATTGTCTTGTTCTCTGTGGCCAACTAATAACCGTGGCTGTTTAGAAAGCCGGAAGTTAGTCGGCCTTAACGGGCATCTGGTGTCCTGGGTGTAGATGAGAAATTTAACCAGAGCAGTACAACCGCTAGCCTGGGGTGTTTAACGTGCATCACGCAGTAGTGATACATGACCGCACGCCAGTACGATGATCATTCAGATCGAGACAGGCAGGGGTGGGGATTCATCCTGGGATCCTCAGGTTCTGTGGCGCGAGCTCTCACTCAGCACGCTCCGAGCCATGGTGCGTTAATGCACTTGACCACCGACCTCCCTCCGTTGCGAACTGCTTCAGCGGTTTTGGAAAGCAAGGTGATGAAGAACACTTCTTCCGTCAGGCACGCTGACAAAAAGCTGGGGACAACTGGCAGCTTTATTTCTACGTGACAATACGGTCGAAGTGTCGCCATCCTTACACGAAGCTCAGTCGGTGGCTCCACTTTCCACCACCCGACGCCCTTTGCGAGGGCAGAGAGGCGCCGAATGCCCCACTCGGTGGCACCCACCTCCATTAGGTGCTGCTCCGAGAGGTGGTTGCGGGGGTCCAGCTCGAAGATAAGCACATGGTTGACGCCCGAGGTCCTCCAGCCATACACGTTCACCCCAATGAGGAACATGAACAGGATGATGAGCAGGGTGCCCCGGTAAAGCCGGAACACTATGCGCCAGTCGTCCCGCGACTGGCTGAACACGCCTGCGGGGCATGGAGGGCATGATTAGAGTTCGTCGACGAAACTCGCACTCTGCATTTTTCATGAGTACCGATGACCGTCGTCGCGCGAATGCTCGAGACGTGTGCCACGAGCGAGTGTTCCAACACAATTTCCTTCTGAGGGTCGCTCAAGGCACAGGCCTTGTGCATTGGCGCACTCGACGCTACTTGCGAGAGAAACCCAGACATGTTGAGGCACGATGCGAGCATTCGCGAATGACACCAGAGGAGACCTTTACAAACTATACTCGGTGTCAACTATTTTGTGCTATGTCATCGAGGCTAGAGTAAATTCCGCGGTGCCGAACCCGCAAAATGGTGACAGCTGCAGGTGGCCCAGGCGCCCGGAATCTCGAAGCTACCCGTGCTTCAAAACCAAAATGCTCGGAACGACCTCCGCTCGGACGTTCAGTCGTCGACCGGAGCAGGGTGCGGGAAAGTTGTGACATCAAACCGCTTAATCGGACTCTTTTGTCTGCCTACCCCAGCCAATACTGGCTTTCGGTGGGCAGTTGCACGATAGACCCTTTTCAAAACTCCACCGAGCGAAATTGGTGGTTGCCATTTCTTAAACGCGAAGCGAGCGACTGGATTCGAGTCTTCGCCAAACACCGACGCAGCCCTCGTGTTCGATACATGCCCAAAATACGAGATTGAACCAATCTGGACAAAGGTAACTGGCACGGTAGCCGCTAGATGGCGCACACTTTTGAAAAGGGTTTATTGCGAGCTTTTGAAAATGCCTTTGGCTCCCCCTTTAGCAAGTGTGGGCCCAGGAGAGAGTTGCACCCCCTCGACGCTCGCGCGAGGAAGAGTAAGGAAAGAGAAGCCACTCACCGGACAGGATCACTGCTATGACGAGTACAATGTAAGCTCCAGAAAAGAGTCCCACTTTGAAAGTCACCCAGGGAGATTGCTGAACAGAAAGAGAACGAGCCCTTAGCGTGACGAGCACAGGCGGCGTAGGCAAACAAATAATATGAGCAGGCCGATTTGGCTCCCCGTCAATGGATTGGCCATGCTAGGCAGGGATGGCTTGCTCGTCGTACAAAGACGCCGATTCGGGCTCAAGCCCTGTGCGGTCCTACCGAAAATTTGTGGCGCCTCTGTCAATTCGCTGTTTTCGAGCTCCCTGTTTGTTTGTCACAGGAGCATCAACGCGCACCTAGAGAAAACTCTATAACTCAATTTTCGTGCTAAACCAGTCTCCCGCATGAGCGACTCCTTCGTGTTGCATGCAACGGCGCTTATCTCTGGCAAGACTTGTATTTTCTAGACTATGCCAAATACCCACACATGTGATCAAAGTTTCAGTCTAAAAAATATAGAAGACTAGAAACTTCGCTAACAACATTCGTGGATCCTACTGTCAAGATGTATATAAAGTAAAATTAACTCTGATTTCCCTCCCAAGCATCCTCTGATGTCTATGAACTAGCTTCATCATTTACAATATCCGTCACTGCATTTTCTCAGCTGCCAGGTGGCGGTCCCGTCGCACGTCTCTAATTTTCTCCGGCTCCTAGGGGCGGCGACTGTCGCCCATGCAAATGTATATAAAAAAAACAAAACAGAAAGACAAGTTGCCACTCTCTATTTTCATTTTTACTTCTTGTCTCTCATTGTAATGGGGAGGCCGCATATAGTCTTAACTCCCAAAGATCAAACTGCCTACGAAAAAAGTGAAAGCCGTTTACAACTCCCTGTAACACCGAATTAGAGTGCAACTCTTGAGGAGGAGGAGGGAAGGGTACTGGGGGGGGGGGGGGGGGGAAGTGACCTGGGGGAGGTCACTTGACGATGCCGATGATGTCATCAGTGACGATGACGATGCGGACTCCGACGACTTCATCCGTGATGATGACGATGCGGATGCCGGTGACGTCATCAGTGACATCACTGATGATGTCATCAGTGATGATGACGATGACAATGCGGATGCCGGTGAGGTCATCAGTGACGTCACTGATGACGTCATCAGTGATGATGACGATGGCGATGCGGATGCCGGTGACGTCATCAGTGACGACGACGTCATCGGGGAGGTCACGTGACCCTGGGGGGTGGTCACGTGACCTCGGGGGGTGTCACGTGACTTCGGGGGGTGGGGGGTCACGTGACCCTGAGGGAGCGGTCACGTGACCTTGGGGTGACCTTGGTTACGCTGACGCCGCTCAAGCCGGGAACGGCCCCTAAGAGCTGCGCTCTAAAACAACGGCAGGAACGGCAAGGAGAATGTCAGCAGTGGCGGCAGGCAGCATACACCACCGCCTGTGTCATGTGCTAAACAGCTTCACTGGTCATCCACCTTCACAGAGTGGAATGGCTGGTAATCTTTTCCTCAACAACTTGAGACAGGGGCACAGGTTACATGCAGAGGTGGGTAAATCTTCAGAATGATAAATGTGATAGAGTCGAACCCAGATATATTGAATTCAAAGGGGATCGTAAAATAGTTTGATATATCAATATTTTGATATACACAAATATGTTAAATTAAGCTCGAGTTGAAATTTTCTGGAGTCTCTGCTAATACCGAAGGTCGCGACAAACGGGAGCTTACCAAATAGAGCATCCAAGAGGCACTAAATACAGTAGTGCGTAAATGGCATAGTTGGTGGAGACAGCAAACACCGCCACGCTTACACGCGCTCATGGCCAGGATTTCCACACAGCAAACAACGCTGCGCTTGCACGTGCACATGGCCGGTACCTCCACAGAGCATAAACTACAAAACACGAAAATAATAAAAAAAATGGAAGAAAAACGGAAAAGCGAGATGCATAAAAAATCTCTTGATACATAGAAAAAAAGTTAAGCAAGCAACAAAAAAGAAAGCTCACTAAATTCAGGCAGCAAAAAAAGAAAGGCAAAAAAAGGAAAGACGGGCAAAGCAATAACTGCAAAAGAAAAAAAGTAAACAAAGATAAGGCGTTCAAAGTTCGATTGCACAACCATTGTTGTTGACACACTCGACTTGCCGAAGTCTTTTTTTTGCTTATTTTATTTTGGGGCTAGGGAGTCAACGAGCATCAGCAGTGTTCAAGTAAAGGGCACAGGCTATTGTTCCAATAGTGGGCGTTCCCTGCTCTCCCTACGCACGCGTGCCTGCCCTTCCCCTTACTTTAGCCATTCTCTACTTTTTTCTTTTTTACACTTTGTCTTTCTTTTTTTACAACTGCTCTTTCGCTGCATATCTTCCCACGTGTATGCTGGCTTGGCGGCCTGCCAGCCATGCGACGCAAACAATGTGCTCGCCACCGGCGCAATTGAATCACAGGAAAAGCAACGGGCGGCCAGGCCTCGTTCGCTATATCGAGTGTCCCCGGCATGGTAGTTGGATACAAAAAAGACAATGCTCCTATTTTCAAAGGGATGTTTGGACCGCTTGGTATAAAAAATAATTCGAAACACCCGAGTGTGATTTAACCATGCTCGACTGTACTAATTGCAATGTGACGGATATACTGCTTGAAAACTTCACATCAGAACCACCAGGGTCATGACAGTGGCCCACAATGCTTCATTATTTTTGTCTCAAGACGCCTAGCCTCGCAGCATAATGCACCGAAACTAAATTTGGCGAGTGTGCAATGTGTTGTTTACGAGATACCCCCTGTTGTGTGGCGCTGTGCACATTGACCAGACAGGCAGACGCATGAATGACCATGCACGCGAGGACGGGGCTGTCATGCGAGCTAGCTCTTCTGGTCATCTCGCCATTCACTGCAGTAGATTCTAGTCTGGCAAAAAAAAAAGTGAACGCCGTTTACAACTCCCTGTAACACCGAATTAGAGCGCAGCTCTTGAGGAGGAGGAGGGAAGGGTACTGGGGGGGGGGGGGTGAAGTGACCTTGGGGTCACGTGACGATGCCGATGATGTCATCAGTGACGTCACTGATGACGTCATCAGTGACGATGACGATGCGGACTCCGATGACGTCATCAGCGATGATGACGATGACGATGCAAATGTCGGTGACGTCATCAGTGACGTCACTGATGACGTCATCCGTGATGATGACGATGACGATGCGGATGCCGGTGACGTCATCAGTGACGTCACTGATGACGTCATCAGTGATGATGACGATGCGGATGCCGGTAAGGTCATCAGTGAGTCACTGATGACGTCATCAGTGATGATGACGATGACGATGCGGATGCCGGTGACGTCATCAGTGACGATGACGTCATCGGGGAGGGGTCACGTGACCCTGGGGGGTGTCACGTGACTTCGAGGGGGGGGGGTCACATGACTGAGTGTCACATGACCTCTGGGGGTCATGTGACCTTGGGGGGTCGCGTGACCTTGGGGTGACCTTAGTTACGCCGACGCCAACGGCGACGCCGTTCAAGCCAGGAACGGGCCCCTAAGAGCTGCGCTCTAAAACAAAAACAAGCAGAGAAGTTCATGAGGCATACGAAATTCGAGACAAAGAAATACATTGCATAGGTGACGCATCAACTGTCCTATCCCCAAAAGAGTCTGATTCTATCAAACAAGCTTTGCACCAACATGCTGATGACTAGACAAGCTGATGGGGCCTATATTATATGTGTGCTTCTCGAATAAACAACAGTTCCGAGTGGGCCTCGTGTCGTCTTACTTTTTCTTACCTAAGTCATTATTTTCGGCACTCTTAGTATATATATATTTTTAAACTATGAACCAACTAGCCCAATAAGCACATTGCTGTAGCCAAAGGCTTTGCAAGCATTCGCAGGCCACCTTGCTCGACCGCCAGAGCAGGAAAGAAGTGCAAAGGGCGACTCTCACCTGATCATTCAAAGGCGGCACCCGTAACCGCTTCATGGCCTTCTGCCGATCGCCCCCTTCCAGCATAGTGGTCACCAAGCTCTGAAATGATCAGCCACCACAGGCCATTCTCAAGAGCACTGCCAAAGGGATTGTCCTCTAGCCGCTTTTCAAAGAACGCAGGTCACAGTTGGCACTTACTAAAGGAGTTATAACCAGAAATTTTAAGGTTTGAATTACAGTATGTTGCAATCGTCCTTGAATTGCATCAATAAGCTCAACCAGTTCATAGAGCATTCTCTGCCACTGGTTCAGGAGAACTGCTACATTATAAACATACTATGGAAAACCCCCGGCATCTATGTACAAGTACATTCCAAATTAGCTAGCCTACTGAAGTTCCTTTCACAAAAGACAAGAGCATACCACCTCTGATGGCAGTAGACTGTCCAGCAAGGGGAAGAGTGTCCCTTACATGCCTAGGCCAATCACAAGTAGGTGCTTGTAATGCAGCAGAACTTGTACAGGCCCTATGAATTGGTTCTTTCTATCCGTGGTACCTTATAAAGTTCTGTAGAAAACTAGCTGAAATCACCGAAGGAATTTGTTTTTGTTATTTAGTTCTCTTTTATTAGTAAACCTCTACATATTTCACTTTGTGCACTCCTATTAGCAGAGAGGACCATAGTGACCAAGTAGCCCATGAACCTCTCCAAAACACTGCAAATCATCCAAAACCATAAGCTGCTATTTCATTGGACTTCTGACCCTAACTGAAAATGAATGCAAGAACCAAGCCTATGCATTTGTCACCCACCGTAAAATTGACCCACGAGAAAGGCTCGTTTTTCCAGTCAACTGACAAGCATTTGGGGATGACACACACTTGCAACATACCAGACTTTCACTTCCAAAAATAAGCAGCACGAACCTTAGTAGTATTTGTTTTCGCTAATTTGGTTCTCGAGACATTATTTCTGCAAAAGTTGCATTGACGTAGCCTAGCGCCATTCTACATGCTCTTGAAAAAAGCTAAGTAAGTCGAATCTCATTAGTTCAAACTCTCTTAATTCAAACCTGCGGATAATTCAAACTAACATGCAGGTCTCATCCTATGCGTCTCTGTGGGAGGAAACTCCCGGTAATTCAAACTTTGCTTTATTCAAACAAATTTTCGGTTCCCCTCGAATTTGAATTAAGGAGATTCGACTGTATGTAGCACAGTCTGCAAAATTTGCCGACAGACCGAGCATCAATTTTTGCAAAGTGCTCAGTGCTGGTCACAAAAGGAAGCTCTACTCGGTACAGCCTCAAATACCATTGTGGGAGAGATGCAAGATGGACCTGGAAGGAGAGAGTCGCCGAATTATGGTACCCGACAAATACCAGGCGGCCCCAGAAAAGACAGCCTTAGAAAATGCTTTGAAAGCACCCTGGTGGGTTGCTCCGGACAAGCTCTGGGAGTACCCGGTGTGCCCCGGTGCACTCCAATGTGCTCCGGGATCACCCTGGTTTGACCCCGTGTGCCCCGGCATGCTGCCCAGGGTATGCTCAGAGACCACGCTGGGAGAAAACTGGGATTCCTCACCTCAGTCTCCTGTATGAGTCTGTCAATGTCCTTGTTGGTGTAGAAGGGGGCCACCTCCACATAGCCCTGCCGCCACTGGCCTCCTAGGTTGGTGCCCAGCAGCTGCACGCGGGCATTCGGGCACATTCAGCACACAGCCAAAAGATGACTCTTTCTTCCGCTCTCACAATAGGTTTCACTATGGTGACTGGAACACTTCTCCAACTGATCTGTTTACCGCATCCTCATTTGTGGTCCCTCGACTTACGCTTCCGATGACGTCAAAGAAGCGTCATGCTTTCGCCTTCCGCGGTCCTGGTGTTAGAACGGCAGCAGAAGTGGACACGACCGACGCCTGTTCTGCTGCAGGTCGCTCTCCAGCTTGACAGTATGCTTAAGTTAAAGCAGATGCAAAACGGAATGCCGCGACAACGGCAGCACTTGTTTCCTCGTCTTTTTCGTCATAACTTCTACAACCAACCGCCAGGAGCGCGGCATCCGACAGAATGACACACCGGCTCCAGTGGCGTAACTTGTTGCCACCCTGGGATTGTTTTGGAGGCACGGGCAATTACTATAGGATTCTAAACACAACAGTCAATGACGCATTCCAGGCACCATACTGTCATCCCCAACAGTTAAAGGGGCACAAAAGAGGCTCCTGCGATCGTCTGTTCTTGATCATAACCGATTCTACGGGCCCTAACCATCCTAAAAATCCAAAAATTACAATCACAAAGAGGCGGCTGGCGGTTGATCGACGAGTGCCCGTCGTCACTGCACTGACACCGCTGCTGGGGTGCGCCCCGCCTTTCCTGGGCGGACAAATCTGCTCAGAAAAGGGTGTGTGCCGACCTTTTATCACGTTTTTAATAAAAAAACTGGCGTCGCGTGATCGTAATTTTTGGATTTTTAGGATGCTTAGGGTCCGTAGAATCAGTTATAACCAAGAACAGATGATCACAAGATCCTCTTTAGTGCCCCTTTAAGGACTCCACACGATGCCCTTTCGATCTTGAAGGGGCACTGTCCAGGTGTGGCATCTTTTCACAAGGCACAGCATCAGGTTTAGCCCATTTTGTAAGGCAAGCGGAGTCGGTTCTGACAGACTGTTGACGTAAGCAATCTAGGGCGCATGCGCAGAAGACCATTTTCGAGCAAGCATACCGAAGGCTGTATAAACGAAATATTGGGCCTGGGGGCCTGCACGAATGTTTGACACTTGAAACTACCAAACAACATTCATTTGTGGATAAACTCAATTTGACCTTTGACTGGCAAAATATCCAAACTTTGCACTCCTACTTTTGCCCCTAAAGCTAAATATCAATTTAAAAAAAAAGAAACATTGAAGCAATGTTACTTCTTAAAATTCATAATTGTAACCTTCCCTAAGCTCAACCAGCTATCTGGAAGTAAAACAAGCAAGTTTTTAAGTGTTCATAGATAAAAAGAGAACAAAAAGGCCTCTTTGTTCCAGAGTGCTGTATTCTTTCACAGCTTTTCCGAGCCACTTTTCTTCCTTCTTGTTTGTCGAGCAAAGCTCTCCCTAAAACAAGTCAGCCAAACAAATACATAAGCAAAACTAAAAGAAAGCAGCTTTTTGTTTTGCCTGGCATCTCTTCGACAGAATAAGAACCACAAGAGAGGTCGAAGCACTTTCTTCGCCCCTTAGAAAACAAAAGATTCTGGAACTGCGTGATTCGGAGTGGTGCACTCTTCGGCAGATCCTAGGAATGTACTGTCAGTGGCAATGCCCGCCGACAGTACGTAACCTTGTAAGTTTACGTAACGTACGGCCAAAAAGGCGGCCGACAAACCCAAGCGAAAGATTGAGGATTCCTCTAAGCCATGGGTTCTCAAACTGGGTTCCTAGGAACACAGGGGTTCCTCAGAGTACCCTCACGACTTTCCTGAGCACCCAAACTTCCTCGACCGTCCCTGTCCTCAAGTAAAGCGTTTTTACCTTATTCTGAAAGAATCACCCCATAGCATGTGAAATATTGTTTAGAGGGACTGCAGGCTTCTGCACTGCCTTACTGTATCAACGCCAGGACCAACAAGGGCTCCTCAGCTGTCAATCGAGAGAGACGGAGGTTCCTCGAGATCGAAAAGTTTGACGACCCATGTCCTAAACCATTGAGAGACCCCTCCCCCCATTGTGACACCACTGCTCAGTTGCACTACACTTTCACATTGAAAAGCCACCGTCAAGTAGCGAGCGTCTCAACCAGGGTTCTAATCCATCGCCCGGGCATCGGCGGGTCATTGAAGGGAAGGAGAAAAAATGGGGTGCAAAAATTTGAAAATTTTATGTGCCAAACCAACGAAGGGCGACTGGCAAGCCCCAGCGAAGGACCGAGGATTAAGTTCAACCGCTGGGAGATTTTTTGACCTGAAACCGAAACTCGATTTTGCCTAATTTTTTTTCTGCAAAGCTGTCATATCGTGGGCACCTCAACCGGGACTTCAACCCGCCGAATGTGGTTTCTCTGCTTTGCTGCGAAGTTACCGAGACAGCAAAAAAATTGCCCGACTTAACATTCCATCAAATGCAACGAAAGTGCAGCAGGACCTTGAAATGCCTCTGCAACTACTGATTATTTTACTAAACGCAGTTTCTGTCCTGCTGCATGGGGGGAGGGGGAAGAATAAATGGCAGAGCCAAAGAATGGCCTTCCTTTTCCTTCTGCCGCCACCTTCTCATTGGTGGAGAAGGAATCACACATTTGACTTTCGCGCTTGCAGTGAAGCTGCACCAGGTTTAGGGTGGGACATACATTTCCCTTGGCGCTCACGAATCGTAGGTCTTGCACCGAAGTATGATGAGCAGGAAGCTTCTTGAACCTTCGGACATTGTGTGTACCACTTAGCTAGGTGTACATGCATTATTTTTATAACCCAAGCGCAACTTTAAGACAGCCGCAAGCATGCAGACGTCGCAACAGCCATGACGGCAAAGCCCACGCAAGTGCACTTCCGAGCGATCTGGGAAATGCACAGCGGTGCGTGCGCGGTGATCGCGCTGCACTCGTCGTCTCTCTTGCAAAAGCAACCTTTGCTTCTCCCGCAATATACCGAAGAGTAAAAAATTTGAGACCGTTGCGATACTCGGCTCTACAGGCAGAGCATATACAGTTACTCTACAGAGCGTTAGAGCACCCCCTCACACCACGCAGTGCTGCACCATCGGTCGCACGTGCAAGGACAGCAAGCCAACAGCGGCACTCCATTCCAAACGCTTTCTCCTGGCCTTGCTACGATGCAACCAACACTGACATCAGCGAGCCAGAGGTCCGCACAGGGTTCCCCCATGAAGCTGTCGCCTTAAAAGAGAGGGGCTGCCCACCTTGTCGTGCTTCTTGAGGATCTTGCGGAAGCCCGTGAAGTTGAGGTTCTGGTAGTTCTGGAGCAGGATAAGGCTGAGGTAGAACTCGCTGAAGGCCAGCTTCAGGTCGTGGATCTTGCGCGTGTGGATCTTCACCTCCTGGGCCTGCCGGTCGAAGGCCCGCAGGGTGAGCCCCAGCCGGCCCCGGGCGCCCCCGCCCGAGCCCACGTGGGAGGGTGTCCCGCTCAGCCGGTGCGACTCCATCTTGCTGATGTAGTTGTTCAGCTCTGACTTGAGGTTGCTGAACTTGCGTGTGGCCTCGGCCAGCTTCTCTGCATGCCGAACAGCAGGGGTTCAGGCGGATATTGCCGTAGAGGGACCCCCGAAACTCGTCCCCGAGCTGTGGGGTGGTGCTACCAACACTCGATCTACTAACTTAGAGGGCAGCCATAGTTGTTAAGTTGGTACATAAATAAAGCTAAGGGCACATAAATAAAGCTGTGCTTCACTTTGTTACTGGCCCTTGGCATTCATTCTTTTACAAGAGGTACTTGTAGTAGGCCTTCTGGGTGTCGGTAGTTGGCAAAAGGCAGCCATAAAAGTATGTCCTGTATTACACTGGCAGACTGATCTGAGAATTCAGCCATTTTATTTATCCAATCCTACCGTTGTATGATGCATAAATACTTATTTCCTAATAAGGATCAGTTTTATTTCGGTAATCTAAAACCAGCATTTCTTAAAGTGCAGTCACACCCGAAAGTCCACCGGAATGCTGAAAAGTTAGCCTGGACACTCTACTACTTTACTAAGTTGGCGGGTATTCATAACTGCATTTGAACCAACCATATGTAAATAACTGCACCAAGCTTGTATATTTATTTATTTATTGATACCCTTCAGGGCCCGACGGCCCTGAAGGGTATCAAAAGCTCGACTAAAGCTGTCGGAAGGCGATTCTAGTCCAGTGACCTTTTGGGCAAAAAAGACGGAAAAAAACGGGATGCGTGACAGTGAACAATGCCAACATTATATCAATGGCCGACGCGCGATGAGATATAAAACAGTTGTATTAACAAAAGCTCGTGCAATGACGTGTTAAGATAATAGATCTTGTGAAATAAGTGCAAACGTGACACTTTTCTGTGAAGAGGTCAGGTAAGCACAAATTGGATTTCATTGCTGATACGCTGGATGTACGGTGATAGTTATGTAGTATGAATCCAGCAGAAGGGTTTTGAATGGCTTCAAGTGATGATGCAAGTGTTATACCAGGGTCCCGGATAGCTGCGGCATATTCAAGTTTACTTCGGACCAAAGACTTATAAAGAAGTAGTAGTTTTAAAGAGGTGGAAGCAAGAGAAAAGTTTTTTTTAAGACAGCCTAACTTGTGCTTTGCGTTATTGATTATGTATTCAATGTGGGTATCCCAGGAGAGAATATCTGTTATATGCAAACCGAGACATTTATATGATAATACAGATTCCAAGACAATGCTGCTAATATTGTAACCATGGCGCATGTTAATTTGAAGTGATACTCTCATGGATTTGCATTTGTTAATGTTAAGTTTCATGTACCATGTGTCACACCATGCACCATTGTCCTTATATAATTTATCTTTATTCTTGTCCTTTATTCTATGTCCCCATCCCTTTCGTGTTGATGTTTTTAACAAGTCCCCAGTCTATTTTTGTCGATAAACATATTTTCTTTCTGTTTCACTCCTATTTCCTGGTTTCTCTATGAACACCATTATGCAGCATGCGGGCGTCCTGCATTGTTATCTCAGAAGGCGAGATATGAATGACCAAACTAGGATGGGAGACAGAAACGCTCACTTGGAGGACCTAGATGGGCATATAAGTTCAAGAAGAAGCACATTGTTAGATATCTGTGGGGGGCACCAGTTTGTGTTTTATGCAATTCCAGTAAGAAGTGGTATTTAAGTTCCACAAAAGGTTACTCACTGACGTTACATTCAGTGACGAATTCGGGCTATCAACGACCTGCCATGCCGAAATTAACCGGAGCGACGCTAGAAACAGCTAAAATTCCACACTGCCGGGTACAAAGTGAAATTTTCATGTTCATGAAAGCTAACAACTGCTAAGTCCTATCTTGATGATGGGCTTTTAAAGGAGCGCTAAAGAGGATTCTGCAATTGTCTGTTTTTGGTCATAACTGATTCTATAGGCCCTAAGCATCCTAAAAATTGAAAAATTACAATCGTGCGACGCCGATTTTCCTACTAAAAACATATAGAAAGGTTGTGACATACCCCTTTCTGAGTGGATTTTTCTGCTCAGGAGAGGCGGGGCATACCCCAGCAGTGGTGTCAGCGCAGTGAAGATGGGCAGTCGCCGGCCAATCGCAAGCCGCCTCTCAATCGCAGGCCGCCTCTCAATCGCAAACCACTTCCCCGAGAGAGGCGGCTTGAGATTGGCCGACGAGCGCCCATCGTCACCGCGCTGACACCACCGCTGGGGTGTCAACGCAGCGCCTTTCCTGAGCGGAAAAATCAGCTTGGAAAGTAGAGTGTCCCGGCCTTTCATAACAATTTTAATAAGAAAATCGGCATCACGTGATTGTAATTTTAAAATTTTTTAGGATACTTAGGGCCCGTAGAATCAGTTATGACCAAGAAAAGACGGTCGCAGAATCCTCTTTAGTGCCCCTTAAATTTCTAATTGGGACCTGCCTGTTAATTTTAGTAAGTCAAAAGCTAATTGATTAATTTTAGTTAGAAACTTTGTTAATTATCATATGAGAGGTGACCCATCAAGTCTGCCATAAGCCAACAATGTTATCCTGGAAAATATTTTATTCTTTACCTCCAGAGTCCTTTTTCTGTAACTGTTTTTCAAGTAAAAAAACATACGGAAAAGGAAGACAAGACTGATACATTAGGCCCATCCCTCTTAGGACAGCGACATTAGCCATGCACGGGGAAATCACGCAGATCATTACCAAAAAGGAAGATAACAAGGGAGCACTGAATGTGCTGTAAAAATAAATTCAGATAATAAAGGAGGTCAATAAACAAATCATTTTCTATAACACAGTGCATAGACTGCCAGAAAAAGAAAAACTACATTCAATCTAGCATGATGCGTAAAGACGCTTAAAGGGACACTGAAAGGGTATTTTGGTGGCCAAGGTTTTCATCTGTATGGGACATATGAGAGCCCAACTACCCTGGACACAATTTGCTGCTCGAAATTAGTTTTCTTTCTACCCAAAAACCGCCGATCGAGACCTGGCCGGTTTGAGTCGCGCTCACTCTCTTCTTTGTGGTCACGTGCCGTTTTCCATGGTTTAGACACAACCACCAAAGGTAATCAAAGTCATGGGTCATCGAAGGCTGTGGCTTCGATGATGCAATGTGGCTTCTAAAAAACTGCAAATACATTGATTGAAAAAAAAAAAGTAAAAGAAAAGAATTGCACAATTATGTGATTTCTGGTAATTTTCTCCTCCTCTATATTTCTTCTAGCTCCCCAGTCCAGTTTTGGTTTCGGTTTCGAGCAGTTGTGCATTTTGACTTTATTAAAATTATATGTGATGCTGTAGCACAATATTGATTGGGTAGCCTTCTGATACCATAATAAATTGCATGGCAAAAAATAAAAAAAAAGAAATTTGAAAGCAAAAAAAGTGAAAGCCGTTTACAAATCCCTGTAACGCCGAATTGGAGCGCAGCTCTTGAGGAGGAGGAGTGAAGGGTACTGAGGGGAGGGTAGACCCCTCCCCCTTCTCCTCCTCCTCCCCTCATTCTTTAATATGCTCCGGGGGGGGTGTCACGTGACTTCGGGGAGGGGGTCACGTGACCTCGGGGAGGCGTGACCTGGGGGTGACCTCAAGGCCACGTGACCCCAAAGGTGACCCCCACGTGACCTTGGGGTCACGTGACCTGGAGGGGTCACGTGACCTCGGGGGGGGGGGGGGGGGGGTCACGTGACCTGGGGGTCACGTGACCTTGAGATGACCTTGGGGGTCACGTGACCTCGGGGGTCACGTGACCTTGGGGAGGCGACCACGTGACCTCGGGGGTCACGTGACCTCAGAGGGGTCACGTGACTTGGGGGTCACGTGACCTTCAAAGGGTCACATGGGGTCATCTTGGGGTCACGTGACCTTGAGATGACCTTGGAAGGGGTCACGTGACCTCGAGGGGTCACGTGACCTTGAGATGACCTTGGGAGGGGTCACGTGACCTTGGGGGTCACGTGACCTTGGGATGACCTTGGTTACGCCGACGCCGACGGCGACGCCAACGCCGACGGCGACGCCGCTCAAGCCGGGAACGGGCCCCTAAGAGCTGCGCTCTAAAAAATTAATTTGGGGGGTGTCAGTGTCCTTTAAGACAATGTAAGCCAAAACTACAAGTGACGTACAGAAAGGAACTTAAACGTGAAAGACGGAATAATTAAGCTCTTAAGAGACATTTACACGGACAGTTGAGACATTATAAAAAGGAAAGGAAATGGAAAAATCCCACAGAGATAAAACGGTCTTAGGCACCGATGTCATTTGTAGCCTTTACAATTTGCAGTGCACTTCTGAGGAGTAGATGGGAGGCTCGAGAAGAGAAAGATTTCAAGCGCAATTTGTTTCCTCCTAACTGCAGGTGTTCATTTCAACTCCCGCAAATTCATCCCGCTGTCAGCAAACAACACTACATCATTTGCACTATTGTAGCGCAGGAGTTCAAGGTTGAGGCACGTGCAGGTCATTCGCAAATTTCTGAAATCCGCAAAGCACATAGGCTAAGTCAAAACACTTCTTTAGCGCAGTTTGGCTAAGCCTCGCAAGATATCTTGAACACAATGGGAATGTTCAGAAAGGTAACTATTTCTGCCGAAAGCTTCGTCCCCCCAACAAACTCTTGGTACCTCACCGTGTTCTGCAAGTGAACTGCGACGGCAGCCAAGGCATCTCACACTCTGCTGTATGCAGACAATCATTCTCCCCAACCGTTCAAAAGTTGGCAAAGGCACAAAATTTATGTTGTCCCGTGATGTGACATGGTGTTACATGACGCTGTGATGTCGCATGGTCATGTAATGTCATGACGTCCCAATTGCCCCGCTAAATTTAGGCTTTCTGTGACACTGTGATTCCTGGAAAAATCTCAGCGGGCCACGACCCATACTGTACGCCATACACCAAACACCTTCTGGGATTTGCTGCGAAACCTTGCTAATAACGGCTGTGGCCGTAGAGAGTATTTTTGGTCCACTTGACAGCCCTTCCTCTGGCACTCACCCGAGTAAAACGTGTTTATCTTGGCCAGCTCTTTGTCGCAGTACTGGAAGAACTCCTCGTCGAAAGAGGCCAGGTACCTCGTGATGATGCTCTGCTCCACCACTGGGGCACGGAAAGGTCACAGTGTCACACCCATGGGTGCCAATGCACGTGCTACATACAATGTCTGTCACAGTGGCTAGTAATTCCTCCAAGGTGATTTCGGGGTAACATTGAACAGAGCTAGTTGACATTTATCATTTAAATTCTCCGGTTTTTTTTTTGTTTTTTTTTTTCTGTATTGGGGGAGGGGAGGCAAAAATAAAAAAAGCTTGACAAGTCTGCCTTCCTTACAGCAAAGCAGAGAAACAGCGTGAATATACCTGATATTTGAAATAATGATGCAAACACATGCAAAAGTACCAAAAAGTATGTAGTTATTTATTTAAAAAAACAATAACAATCAATTAGTATAGGTTACCGCCATTCACAATAGTTATGAAAACTGCTTAACAAATATCAAATGCACATTTATTCTAGTTTTGCTCACACTACCTATATTGCGAGTGTCTACATCCACGCGCAGGTATAAAGCCAAGTCGGGAGGTCGGGAGGAGATAAGGCTCCATCCACGCACTACGTCACTTCAGGTGTGGATGTACTCCCTCCCCGACTTGGCTACGTCCACGCAGGAATCGACTTCCGGTCTGTGTGCGCGTGTGTGCACTACAGCTGCAAGCACGAGCGGGTAGTCTGCAGAAATCCAGACTGCGCGAGCGTGCGGGCAAGTCAAGAATGCACGGAGCGGTGGGCTTGCAGTTGTTCTCTTCGATGCACATAAGCTCGCACAAAGGACTGTTCACACATGCAGTTGAGCACTACAAGCATAGCGCTGACCTTGCGCTAAGCGCGTGCTGACGGGAGTGTTCACCAGCTTCGTATCGCACCGTCCAAACTGTTGCTCATGGCAGACGATAAGTAGCTGACGACACGTGAGCAGCGCTACATCACTGCTCCGCTGCATGTGAGAACCGACTTTAATACGCCTCGAATCAAGCCAACCACACACACGACGAAGCCTAACTGCCTCGTCTCGGCAGCGATGCACACATGGGCGAAGGGCCCGGGGGCCGCACCCGCACTGCCTGCACGCACGGATGGCACGCACGCCGCCCACACGTGTGTGTAACTCCTGGACAAAATAACTATAAAGATATATATTGGTACTATTTTTATGATGCATCATATTTGCTATTAGCATTAGAAAACAGTGAAACATTTATACATTGTCTAAGAATTTGTAATGTCACTTGACATATTAACTTTAAAACCACAATAAAATCTAACCTCTTTATTTTAATATTCTATATTTACCTATAAGAAAGCATAATGTGTACATAAAAACAAATTGTATTAGTATATTATAAGTCACGTGACTTTTTGCATGGATGGAGCATTATCTCCTCCCGACTTGGCTACGTCCCTGCGCGTGGATGTAGCCTCTGCCATCTATATTTAGTTCATTAAAATTATCAAAGAAAACATTACCATTTAATTAATTAAAGTGAACCTAGGTTATTCAAAACAAATCTCGACCACACAAACAGCATGCATAAATCTGACTCTCCACATCTGTGAAATAAAAACTTTCTTCATGCTCAGATTTTTTTTTTTTTCTTTTGTAGTCCTAATTTAATTGTGGGCTTATTCATACCAGAGATTAACCAACAATTTTTAATAACTGGCAGTTACAGAGGACTAGGAAGACAAGAAAGAAATTGAACAGTCTTTACATGCGGTAGTTGTGAAGTGAATTTCCTCAATTAATGTGGAGCAAGCAAAAGGTAGAAAACCATCAATAATGACGGCAATGGTATGAGCTGTACTGGCACTCCCAAGGAACACAGCTGTGCAGACTCTTGGGCAAGAGGTATCGTACAGAAGAAGGTTATGGACGAAATATCTAATGCCAGCCCAGGTTTGTCATCAAAGGTAAATGAAGAAGAGGAAGAGAGAAAAGCAAGAGGGATTGATAGAGGTGAACCATCCTGAATACAGAATAGTCCTCTTCCCGTTCAGCCGCTTACCCTCTGAGGACGGTGCCCTTTCCACAGCTGCATACAGCATAGTTTTCATGTCCTGAAAGTGGAAACCACAGGTAAAAACAGCACACCTTGTAAAGCGTAAAACAGCATAAAGAAGTACTTGTAAGTATTTGTATCTCATTCTAGTTGCAATTCAGAAACATGTACAGTGCTCAGCAACACGAACATAAAACATACCACCCCGCTCCATTTGCACCAATGGTGGTTTTCACAGGGCACCCCAAACTCACACTCTCAGGCTATATAGGCTATGTGTATCCATGTGCATGCTAGAGCACAACTTTGCTGTACTTTGCGGTTAAGGTTAAGGAGCAGCCTAAAATGCCAACTTCTGCCTGCTTATACAAGAATATCTGAACTCATGAAATTTGTACCTCATGAGGTTGAACTCAAGCTCAGAATTGCACAAACTAATCAAAATGAGTTGAGGTCAAAATGTAAAAGGTAGGGTTGCAAGACCTGCCCCATGCCGGATGGATGTGATAACAGATTGGAGCGTGTTGTTTATGAAACAGCTCTCAAGAGAGTCCATCAGCAGTGATTCGGATGAGACTTTATGACCTGTATGCAATGAAATCAAATGTGCAAACTATCCCCTGATCATTTAGCTATGCAAAAGAGTTTTAGATGCCTACAGTGCAGCAATGCTAACATGCATGAGAGTGTGGGTGAAGTAGCAAAATATGACTATTTCAGAAGTCATAAATGCAAACGAAAACATGACCGGGAAGTTGGGGAGAGAAGTTGAAAGATACTTTAAAGATGTAGGTGTCCATTCCAGTATTTTGTTAGAACACTGAAGTTACCGACTTTTCACTTTGAAAGATGTCAGAAAAACTGTAAACTCCTTATTCTACTACACAAAGCAACAATTTACATATTATTTCATATAACCCTTTAGAAACAATCTTTCGGGAAAATGTCAATGTTGCAACTTAAAGAAGTCATGAAACGCTTTTCCAACTTTTTCCTGTTTAGCTTTCCTCCTCAACTCATAAATAGCGCATTGTACCAAACAGTTCAAGAAGACAAAAAGGGGGAGTCCCCTCTTTCTGGGAATCTTACTTGTGTAGCCGGACACAGCCACTGTCCCCCTAGAAGATTAGCCCGTCACTCAAAATTCAGACAAGTTGCTTTCCCCACCCTGTTCACCCCAAAGCTGACAGTGCCGTGGAAGCCACGTGCTCGTTGGGCCCGGCCTCACTTTTGCCACGTGATCACGCTCTCTCGCGCATACCGACCCGCAGAGAATGAGATCAGGTGATGAAAGGAAAGTGGCTGATTGGTTCAGCAAGTGCGTAGCTTCCACCACAATGTCAGCTTAGGGGTGAAGGGATTAAGTGAGGTCCGGTGCCGTGTGACGTGCGCTTGGGCCCAATGACGCGCTGCGGGTGCCCGGTGACGCGCTGCGGGGTCCGCGGATGTATCACAGTGAAAAGGCAGAGAGCTCACGAAAGGAAGGAGGTAAGAAATAGTTTGCTGTGTTTTAAAAATTTTCGTACCAAAAGTCAGGCTTCTGACTATCTACCTTGGTTCTTTTGGCCCACTGAACGATGCGCTATTAGTAAAATCCCAATATAGATTGATTTATTCCAGTCCAAAATTCGTTTCATGGGCCCTTTAAATTCATTGTGAGATAGCCTTACAAATAGAGTAAAAATATCAAAGTATCCATGTTTGTGGATTTTATGTGAATATACGAGGGACGTTAATTTTTTTAAACTTCCAATTAGCTGAGCATAAAAAACAAGAGTGATAAAAAAAGCTATAGTACACGCAAAATTTAGATAAATCCGAGGGGCATTTATAAAGCTTGTATCATAATCAGGATAAAAAGAGAGCTGCGATCACGAGCGTCGGTGGTGAGGATAGGCCATCGGCAGATAAGCATCACACTAGGTGACACAGTTCTCCCGTCGATTGATGAGCTGGCGAATACCCTGGATGTGCAAGCACTCATTCTGAATCTTGAGGAGGTCTTCCACCTCGACAATCACCTCATCATCGCCCTGGAAATGCTTGCCAAGCAGTGGGTTCTTCATGAGAAGAAGAAGGCAAAAGTCACTAGTTGCCGGGCAGGTGAATAAGGAGGCAGAGGTATAATTTCATAACTGAAAGTAGCTGCATGCGTCACAGTCTACTGCGAAGAATGAGCTGGTGCGCTGTGGTGGAGCCCACACACTTTGTTGGTCAGCTTCCCACAATGCGTGGAAGCCTCATGCAGCCTAATCAGGAGGTCCCGGTAATAGTTTCCAGTGGCTGTGGGATCCTTACGGGCACATTTTGTCAGGAGCACATCGTGGCAGTCTCAAAAAATGCAAATTATCACTTCCCCCATGATGGCTGCATTTTGCCCTCTTAGACGGTGTTGAGTCCACGTGTTTCCAATGTTCCTTTCGTCTCTTCGTTTCGCAACCGAAATAGTACGTCAAACAGTCATCCATGGTGATTGGATGATCAAAGAAGTTGTCAGGGTTGACTTGGCAAAGCTGCAAAATTTCTGTAGCAAACTCTTTTAAGCGCTGTTTGTTCGTCGGCGGGAACAGTCGCATAACCCAGTGGACGACGACCTCCATTGTGTACAAATCATTGGGCGTGTGGAAATCACTGAGCATTGTGAGAGAAACGTTTTGAACGCACTGAGATCACAGTAATGTGGGCTTATCCCGCAATGCAAATTTCAGTGACATTTCTTTTTCTTCCTGCCAGTGATAGAAACTTTATGAACGCCCCTGATTCTGTAGCTACTTCACATAATCACCGCATAGATTTAGGCACTTGTTCTGACATGGCACGAGCTTTTGGACGCCCTGCCTCAAAGGAGGTTGCTGCTGGGGTTCTCGGGACATTTCATCTCACACCAACAAGACCGTTTATCGTCAGACATAATTCCCTGACCTCCATTGTCATGAACGTCTGTTCAACTTCTCCAGAACTTCACGCAACAAAACATTTACAAACAAACCACATACGAAGTAAGGCTGTGTGCGATTTATTTTCAATCGCTATCCGATCTGCAGACTTCGTCTCCCTACTGAAGTCCGATACGAAACTTTTGACCATAAGTATCAGGATGATGTCTCAAATTAAATTATTTTTTAAATCGCTACATGATGATAACTTTATTGATATACAGAAACATGTTACATATGCAAACTTCGATAACCCAACTAGAATGAAACAAATTTATTGTGCTTATCACTTTAATACAGACTCCTTAAAAACTATATTTATTGTTTGTTAAATGTGTCAAGCAATAGAACAGCCTAACCATGGATGCTACAAATAGTCAAAATGTGTGGCTGTATTGATAACATGTTTAGTACTAAAGTGTGCTTGCATTTCTAAAATGTCTCCCAACTTGCTTCGGCCTTATGACTGGCACTGTCAAAAATAAATACAAAATTACTTCTCTGTGGCGAGCAGCAGTCTTTTGACACACGACAGAATGGCTGAAACAACATTCTCTGAGAAGGAGATCCACAACTTGTGCCACCAGATGATAAGGGCCTAAATCTGTGTGGTGATTACATGCAGAACTAGCTACAGTATGTATCTAAATTTCATGCATACTAACACAATTTTTGTCTCGCTTTTTTCGCAATTCAACAAACATTTGTATGTCTACAGTTACCATAAGTTACTATTTGAACAAAATATTGTAGTTTTGTATTACTGGTAGTTTGCATAATATGTGCATAACACCTGAGCAAATAAAAATAAAAGTTAAAGTGCCATTTATTGCCGACAGTCTTTTTTCTCTTCCCAATTTGTCTTGCAAATACCTTGCATATTGCTTTTTTTCACATTCAAAAATATCAAAATAAAATAAAATCCTGCTATAATTAGCAGACCTCCCAAGGGTGACGTGTGTTTAACTTAAGAGAGGGATTATCCTCAGATTTCAAATTTTTCGTAATTTCTTTTAATGTTATATCTATGTTTATTACTTTCCAAAGAATGGTTGCAAAAATGTTCACTCATAAACATACAGGATTTATCTCACAATAAAAAAAAAAAGATTCTTGGCACACTGGCAGCCTTTCAAGTCAACAGCAAGCAAACTTTTACATTAAGGCCGCTTCATGTCGTTTACATCTTAATCTTATTGGAAGGGCCATCTACTCTAAGTTTAGCCTGTAGAAGCTTCCCAAGTTAAAAAGTAACAATGGCCAAAAAAGAAACAATGCAACATCCAAACAGAAAAAAATTTGGAAAATATGGTATGAGCAATATTATTGGTTGAGACCTGAAATAGGGCTTGCGATCGGTACTGGCTGGTGGCGTGATATTGTGTTAACTTCAGCAGCATCCTTTCGCCAGTATCTTCCACTTCAGTTCATATTGTTACTTTGCTGGTCTTCTTTGGTATCATCTGCCTCTTAGTTCTAAGCAGTTTATCTGTTAAGAAATGCCTGCTACTAAAGTTAGCTCGCCCACAAACGATACAAGCTGCTAGCTATTGCCAGGGGAACAGTGAAATCTCTGCTAGCCTATGCTCCAGGTGAACTTTGTATGCCCGGGACTTGTAGAAAATTGAGAAACCTAAAGTTTAGCCTGGGACTCGTATAAAGATTGGAAAATGTAAAGTTTAAACTTCAAATGCATTTTTCTCAGTGGCAGAAAATGTTGTACGAAAAAATGTATAATTTGAAGGTTTTAAAAGTGTAACTACTTCATTCAGGGGTTTCCTGGACTGAAATTTCCAGAGGTGCAATCATAATTAAAAAAAAAAAAAAAAAAAAAAAACTCCTTCATAGTGAAAACTAAATATTTTAAAAATGTTTTCATTTTTTTGTGTGTGCGTTATCATTTTTGCAAAACTGCTGTCTGCCTGGCTGAGAAACAGCCCTGGTTTCCTTCTGGCACTCTCAAGTTCAAGTGGGTGTAGGTGCTGGTCTCTACAGAAAGGATTTTTTCTTTCGCCCTTTCTAGGAAACAAAACAAAAAAACAGAAGGGACATTGGGTATGGCTTTTTTATTATGATTAGGGACATCACAAAGCTGTCGAAGTTCAAGTTGGACCAGATTTGA